AGGCGTCCGACTTTGGCTCAGGTCATGACCTTGTGGTCTGTGGCTTCTAGCCCCACATCAGGCTCTGTGCTGACAGCTCAGAGCCTGGAGCCTGTTTCAGATTCTGTGTCTTCCTCTCTCTCTGCCCTTCCCCAGCTCGTGCTCTGTCTGTCTTTGTCTCAAAAATAAATAAACGTTAAAAAAAAAAAAAAAGAAATGTGAACCATAAGAATAGATGAAATATAATATACTCTGCTTTCCCTGACTAAAATTGACTTCATAACATATTGTTTTCTGTTTGTCTGTGTCTCAAGTTATTACCACAAACTATGTATGTGTGTGTGTGTAGAGAGGTAGATAAAGATGTACATATACACACACACACACACACTGTTTTAATAGATAAACTGATAAATGGATCTCTGTTTTCTAGTTCCCAGATGAAGAAGACTTTCCAAAAGGAGGTATTAGTTTTAATGTTGAAGACAATTTTCAAGTGAGAGCTGAGTCTAATAACAACTCAATTGAAAATGACTGTAAGTAAATTCTAAATAAAATATAACATTGAAAAGTTATTTGACACTGAACAAATGATTAAGTAAAAATCTATGCTTTTTTTTCTCCACAGCAATTTTAGATTTCTCTCCTAAAAATTCAGAACGTTCATATCATTATCTGAATTATAATTTTAAATCAGCAGAGAGGACGTCATCAGAAGCAAATAAGGTATAATGTAAGCAAAGCTGTAATAGCTGAGAGTAAAAAATCTTGGTAGACTTAAATGAACCATTAAAAACTAAAAAGATAAAAATCTTAGATTGGATAATTTTTTAACATGATAAAGTTTATCAATAACCAACCAACATTATTTTAATGATAAAACAAGCAGCAAAATTTCTGATAGAATAAATAACAAAATATAGATGACAGCTATCTTATTATTCAAAGGTGTTTTGAATTTTCTAATATGACATGACATGGGAGGCATACATAATTAAAGAGGAAGAAATAGAAGAATCGATTAAAAATGAGAAGTTTAAGAAGAATTTTGTAAGGGAGCTAAAGACAAGATAAACTTAAAAAATTAATACCTTTCCTGAACCAGTTAGAAAACATAATAGAAAAAGTATCCCGATGATGGTAACAACTGATATACAATGCCTAGGCATAATCTTAACTGGAAATATATGGAACATGTTTGGAATAGACTATGAAATTTTACTGTGAAATAAAAAATTCATGAATACATAGTAATTCACCAATGCCCTCTGTAGGTCAGAACTTGTTAAGACTTAGGTATAGATTGATGGACAAAACAGGTATGATCTCTGTCTTTAAAGGCCAAGGAGAAAGAGGATGAGATGGTTAAGGAGGGAGAGAGATGTTAATCAAGAATGCAAGCAAACAAATAAATTGAGATCATTGCCATGTAGGAAAGCTGTGGAAGTACTCTGAAATTATAGGGGAATCTATTCTGTGAATAAATCTACTTTATTCTGCAGCTGTGGCAGCAGTAGGTGAGGAAGATACCTTGCAAAGAAACTGCAAATCTAAATACCCTGAGACTGAAAAGAGCTAAGTGGGCTTGAGAAAGTGGAAGAAAGCCAGAGTAGTAGGATTGTAGAGAGTGAAAGGGAAAGTAGTAATTAGAAATTGGAAAAGTGAGCAGGACCAGACACACAGTCTTACAGGTGAGGTTAAGAATTTTGATAGCCCTCTGTGTTCCTCAGGGAAATCCATGAAGGGTTTTCAGCAGAAAATCACATGACTTAATTTACATTTTAAAAAGGTTTTGCTGGCTGCTCTGTGGTAGATGGGTTTAGTGGGCACTGCCATGGAAACAGGGAAACCAGTTTAGAGGAGACTTAATTGAAAGCGACTTTGAAGATAGGGATTGTGGCAGTGAAAGGAGTTAGAAGCATGAGTGTTGGTGGATTGAATGTAGAAAGTTAGGGTGAAGGAAAAGGGAGAAGAAAGACTCTTGGCTGCCTGACTTAACAATTGTGTATTTTTCACTGGGTGGAGTAAGATGGAGGCGCGTATTAGTCTGCTGGAATTGCCATAACAAAATACTGCAGAAGGGTCTCTTAAATAATAGAAACTTGTTTTGTCATAGTTTTGGAAGCTAGAAGTCCAAGATCAAAGTTCTGGCTAATTTGATTTCTGATGAGGACTGTCTTCCTTCTTGCAGATGGCTGTCTTTTCACTGTGTCTTCACATGGCCTTTCCTCTGTGTGTACACATGGAGAGAGGGAAAGAGAGCAGGTGAATGCAAGCTCTCTTTTTATGAGGACACTAATTCTGTCAGATCAGAGCCCCACTCTTATGACCTCATTTATCATTTAGACTTTGTTACCTCTTAAGTTTTTTTTAATGTTTTATTTATTTTTGAGACAGAGAGACAGAGCATGAGCTGGGGAGGGGCAGAGAGAGAGACACACACAGAATCGGAAGCAGGCTCCAGGTTCTGAGCTGTCAGCACAGAGCCTGGCGCGGGGCTCGAACTCACGAACTGTGAGATTGTGACCTGAGCCAAAGTTGGACACATAAGCAACTGAGCCACTCAGGCACCCCTAGACTTTGTTACTTCTTACAGGCCATGTCTCCAATTACAGTTACATTGGGGTTAGGACTTCAGCATATGAATTTGTGGGGGATGCAATTCAGTCCACAGCATGGAGGGGCAGTTTTGATGAATATATAGGAACAGGCAAGGAATGCCTGTGGATCAGTCAAGTCAAAGTAGAGATGTAAAGTTAGAAGTTGGGTTACATGGGTCTGGATCAGAGAAGTTTGTGTGCTCATTTGCACATATCAAAGTTTAAAGCACCAAGAACGGATAGGTTCATTTCAAGAGTGTGTACTGAAAGGAAAATTGTTATATCCCATTCTTAAGAATTGGGAGGTAGGAAGGATTAGCTATGTCAGTTATTGTTGAGACATCAGTAAAATGACAGAAACATGTCTGTTTGGCAACTTGGGGGTCATTGGTGACTTTGGCAAGTACAGATTCAAGTTTCAGTTTCAGTTTGAAATAGTGAGGATTGAAACCAGTCTAGAATGGACTAAGTGGTAAATGGGATGTAAGAAAGTAGCGACTGTGGATGTGGAAAATGCCTTAAAAAGATTAGCATATTTAATCGGTCAGTCAGTCACTCATTCCTCAAATATTTTGGGGGCATCTACTGTGTGTTGCACTGTTCTCCATGCTAGAGATAGGCCTGTGAATAAAACAGGCAAAGATCTGCTCTCCTGGAGCTTGCGTTCTGATGGAAGGAGACAGATGATAAGCAAGTATATAGAACCTTAGAGAGTTTAAGTGCCGTGGAGGACAATAAAGCTGTGTAAGGGGGATGGAGTTCTATTTTACAGGTAAATAGGGCCTCTCTAATAAATGACACTGGAGTAGAGACCTGAAAGAAGAGAGGGAGGGAGAGCACACATGCCATGCAGGTATCTGGAGGAAGAGCATTCCAGGCGTAAGGAATAGTAAATGTAAAGGTTTTGAGGCAAGGGAATGTTGGCCAGTTTGTAGAACAGCAAGGAGGTAGCCATGGAATGAGTGAACGAATGAAAGGGAAAGTGTTAGGAAGAGAGATCAAAAAGGAAGAGACCTAATCTTACAGGGCAGCTGTGTAGGACATTTTCAGAGCCTTGTACCTTGGAGAGTTTGGGAACCCTTAGAGTTTTAATGAGAGGAGTGAAATGATTGAGCTTATGTTTAGAAAGAACTCTGTGCCTGGTTGGTAGAGAATGTACTGTGGGAACAAGGTCTAATACTCAGTAAATATTGCCTATTGTTACTTTTGTTGAAGGTGCAATACGATCTTGGCTGCCAGGTTTGAATCCTAACTCTGCTGCTAATAAGCTGGATGAATTTAAACAAGTTTAATTGCTTAACTACTCTTTCTCTCAATTCTTTCAGTTGTAAAATAAGGAAAATGAGGGTACTGACCTCATACGGTTGTGGCAAGGGTCAAATAAGTTAAAAATAAAAGGTACTTAGGACAGTTCCTGGCACATAATAAGAATTTGTTAATTTAATAAGACTATTACTATGGTGAAGAGTTAATGTAATTTCCCATTAATTTGTCTGTTTCTTCTACTAGACTGAACTCCCTGAGTGGGGGGATCATTAATAATCATCTTCACATCCTTATTTCCTAGCTTAGCACCTAAAACCAAGTGACTAATCAAGGGAGTGTTTTAAAATATATATATACATTTTTTAACTTTATTGTAATTTACAAAAAAAAAAAGACATACACATTCTAACAAATTGAAACCATTCAGAAGGACATAAAGTTACAAGAAACTTTTCCCCTTAATTCCACCTCTATTAGAAACCAACCAATTAGAACCAAACTATTAGAAGTTTGGTATGTATTCTTCCAAACTTTTATTCTTTTATTCTATTTTTATATAAATATATATATTAAATGTGATCATCGTATTACATTTTTAAGGTGATTAATTTCTGGAAGTAGCAAGAAAGTTAAATACTATTCTAAAGAGAAGAACACAATGAGTAATATGACTATTCAGATCTGGAATAGATCAGAAAAGTTCACTCTATTTGGGAGCAATTATCTAGAAGTTTAGGTCAACTGTAGATAAACCCTAGACCTGAAGACATAAGAGAAAGCTATTCGTCCCTTGAGTCTGCAGGAAGTTTTACCTTCACAACTCCAAACATGAGGTCTGAGTTAGTCTTAATCCCTATTGACTAGAGATTCATCTTCAGAACCAAATCCCCATAACCCAGATCAGCCTAAATCAGAATCTGACCCATTTTAAATAAATCCAGTGGTTTTTATGTTCTGTGTTTATTTTTTACTATTCTTATTGATTTTAATGAGTTTATCCTGTCCCTTTGGGAAGAATTTTTACCATACTGTAGCTCTATATAATGTGCTTGAAAGCATTATTTGTATAATATGGATTACTAGAATTCATTCAAACTATAGGGGAAAAATATAGTAACATTTGGTTAGTACATTTTATTTTTTCTTTCTTAATAGGTGACATCACCAGAACAAAAGATCTCGACCTTGAACCCTGTGTCTACTTTTTCTTTGAACTCAACAGATGAAGATTTTATGCTAGAATTCTCTAAGGAGTCCCTGAAAGCAAGAACTTTACCTGGTGACTTTCACTTACTCGGCTTAGACAGTGGCTACCCTGCTGCTCTCATAATATCTAGCTGCGTAAAATGAAGTTTTTTATTTGAGAAATTGTCACTAAACTAAAAATATCTTGAAACCAGATTCAGTGTCATCTTCCTCAAGCCTTCCCACACTGCTTTCTATTTGAGATGGCTCTTACTTCCAAATACAGCACTCCCTTGTAACTCTCAGCTTCCTTCTGACTTCTCCTCTCAACTTCTCATCACAGACTTCTGCACATGGCTTCCATTATTGCAGTACTTCTCACAGCTGTTAACTCCAGAGGTGGGCTCTTCTATGGTGCCCTCCCCTCCCAGGGGAATGATTCATTGTGAAGGTCTGATTTACACCATTGGTTGACTTTGGTATAACCTTTAATCCATTTTGAGTTTATTTTTGTGTCTGGTGTAAAAAAGTGGTCCAGTTTTATTCTTTTGCATGTAGCTCTCCAGTTCTCCCAGCACCATTTGTTGAAGAGATTGTCCTTCCCATTTGTATATTCTTGCCTCCTTTGTTGTATGACCATATAAGTGTGAGCTTATTTCTGGACTCTCTATTCTGTCTCAGTTCATGTCCTGATGCTGCCAATCAGTAGTCATGTTACCTCTAGGCCTTGGCAATCTCATCTGTAAAATGAGAATAATAAATCCCGTCTTGTCTATAAAGTATTTTGAAAACTTAAATGCTATGTAAATATAATCTAGTGATTGGTGGTGGTAGGTTGGGGGGGAATTTTAGCTAAGGGGGAAAAGAAAAAGGGAAGGATTTTAAATTCATCAACCTTAAAAAAGTTTAAGTCTCTTGAGCTTTGAAATCTTCATTTTTTTGAGACTAAAATCATTAAAGATATTTTATTATAAAAAAGGAACTAAAATTACCTGGGCTTTTTTGTTTGTTTGTTTTCAGCAAGGCAAGTTGTTACTTTTCTTTTTTGTATAGATAGTTACTGGTTTTTAGAGCCTAGGTGATGGCCATAATACATTTTTATTTAATCAGCTCTTTTTCTTTTTTTTTTCACCCAGTTCTCAAAAAACCCAGTTCTCTGGAGAATAAGAACTTTCAGAGGCTTCCATTAGTAAGTAGAACCCGAGATCCATTTATTACTTTGCCACCTGATTTATATTCTTGTTCATATGAGGCCAACTCTGACAGGCAAGAATCTTCTGGTTCTCCCATATTCAACTTGTGTGAAGAGTCAGCGGTTCTTTCTTTTAGCCTTGGGCTTGACGACCAAGGTGAAACTTCCTTCTCTAAAGAATCTAGAGAAGTGACTCCAGGGGACGTTTTACTTCTCAATAATATGTCCATTCAAAGCAAGTGGCTGAAATATCAAAACATACCCCAGTGCAACTTGACTACTCCAAAAGTAGTTGATAAAGTAACAGATGACTTCTCTGCTGAGGTTGTTTCTGGGACCCATTTTAGTGACATGGGTGAAAGACAGAGTGATGCTGTGAATGAAAGCTCTTTAGACTCCATGCATTTGCAAATGATAAAAGATATGCTCCATCAACAGCAACAGGATTTTAGCAGCCAAGATTTGATTTCCAGAAAGAAAGCACTGTCTTTGAATTTAAAGCAGACTTCTAAGACTAAGAAAACTCACAATATGTTAGGAGAGTCAGCCTGCTACAACTACAGTGTAACAGGAGATTTACAGGTGAGGAAATGAACCAATGTATCTTGGTGCAATTTTTCCAATACTTACTGTTTGAATTTCAACAAAATAATTGACAAAATTATATAGGAGCAATGATTTTACTCTTGGAGCTGAGGACTTCTTTTTTTGAGTTTTATAGAACACTAGCTACAGTCATATCTTCTTTGACTTAAAAACTTGCCTAGTAGGTATGAGCACTGAAAGAAATTATATATTTGAAAGTATCTGATGTGGTATCTGGCACATAATAGGTACTTAATAAATTATAGCTCCAACTGTTTCCACTTCCACTACTACTGTTTTTGTGATTGTTTTCACTTTTCACTATCAGCTCAGTTTTGCCAATCAGATCATTATTAGGGTAAAGTTAGATCTTATTATGTATTAGTTATGCACAATTCTATTGTTGTAACTGGAAATAGAAATACATAATGATCCATTCACATCAGCTAAGTTTTTCCTAGCAAAAAGGTTTTACACACTTATTAAGGGGCAGACAAGAAATGTTTAGTCTTTTTTTTTTTTTAATGTTTGTTTATTTTTCGGAGAGAGCGCATAAGTGGAGGAGAGCAGAGAGATCCAAAGTGGGCTCTGCATTGACAGCAGGGAGCCTGATGTGGAGCTCAAATTCATGAATCATGAGATCATGATTGAGCCGAAGTCAGATGCTCAACTGACGAAGCCACCCAGGTGCCCCACATTTAGTCTTATTTATATGATTAAAAGTGCTATGCGTAACCATTTTTACTATATTGGTGTATCATTTAAAATGAAAAAATGAAAAGCGCCTGGGTGGCTCCATTAGTTGAGCATCTGACTCTTGATTTCATTTGGGTCATTATCCCCGGGTCATGGAATGGAGCCTTGCATTGGGCTCTGCGCTGAGTGTGGAGCTTGCTTAAGATTCTCTTTCTCTCTTCCTCTTGCTCTCTCCCCTGCTTGTGCTCTCTCGCTAAAATAATAATAGTAATAATAATAAAATTATAAGATGATTTTCAAGGATTCTGAAAATCAAAAGAAAAATGTGTTTGTTAAACATATATACAGAAAATAATTTACTCATTAGTAAACGGTATTTTTCTGGAGTTATTATAATAACTTGAATTATTCCATTTCAGGAGATAAGTGGCTCTGAGCTATGCTTCCCAAGTGGGCAGAAAATAAAATCTGCTTATCTTCCTCAAAGGCAAATTCATATACCAGCTGTTTTTCAGTCTCCTGCTCATTACAAGCAGATTTTTACATCTTGTCTCATAGGTATGACTGTTATCTTTCTATTTTATTATAATTGGTTGCTGCTTAATGTAAGTAGTATAGCTGTGAGAAAACATAGTATCTTATACTGTGAATTTTCACATTAATTTCTCTACTTGAGATTTGTTATTTTCCGTATGTTCATTCCAGTTTTCAGCAGTAACTTATATTCTAATTTCAGGTCAAATAGAGTGTCAAAAGTAGGAAATGACAGTATTATCTTTTACAAGTTAGAATTTTTCATTTTTTAAAAAATGTTTATTTTTTAAAGAGAGAGAGAGTGTGTGTGAGTGAGTGGGGGAGGGGCAGAGAAAGAGGGAGACAAAGAATCCCAAGCAGGCTCCAGGCTCTGAGCTGTCAGCACAGAGCCCAATGCAGGACTCAAACTTGCAAACCATGAATTCATGACCTGAGCTGAAATCAAGAGTCAGCCACTCAACTGATTGAGCCACCCAGGTGCCCTTCATTTTTTTTATTAAACTAGAAGTGTTACTGGGGCACCTGCGTGGCTCAATTTAATTTAAAAAATTTTAAAAAACTAGAAGTGTTACAGATGGTTTTGTTTAGAAATTTTAAGTATGATGCATGATTAGTTTTGAGTTTGTTTTGCTGTACAAGGGCAAAACTTGCCTTTAAAAAAATGAATATCAATGTGAGGTTACAGATTACTCTGTTAAAAGTCTATTTGCAAACTTAGCCAACAGTACGCATGATACAAACACAGAATTATTTTGTATTTAATTTTCATTTGTATTTTTCTATTTTGTAGAACATCTAAATATATTGCTGTTTGGGTGGGCACAGAGGTTGCACAAAGCTCTTTCAAAAGTCGACATATCATTTTACACATCATTAAAGGGAGAGAAACTGAAAAATGTAGAAAGTAATGTGCCATCCTGCCATCATCATCAACCTGCAAAACTTGTCACGGTTAAAAAGGAAGGTCCAAATAAGGTATTGTTCCCTGTTACTCACCTGTTGCCCCAGTGAATACTTGTCCTGTAAAACGTTTCAGCACCTATTGCTTTATGACCAGCATAGTTAAGGAGCAAGTCTTGATTAGGAGCCTTCTACTTGAGGTGTTAGTAAGCAACATACAGTAAACTCCGAGTAAATTTTTACTGAAAGATTATCTGTATTCTAGGATATAAAATTATGAGTTAAGATAACCCTTCAAATTGCCTAGGAACCTATTGCATAGTGGTAGATGGAGACAAACATAAAAGGAAATTTTATGTAATAGTGTAATTGATAGAATAGAAAGGATATGCCCAGGTTACAGTGAGAGCACTGAGAAAAGACTATGTCCAACCTGAAGTCTTAGAGAATGCAGAGGTGAGCCTAAAGAATTGAGAGTTGAAGTAGTCTGCTGTGTGATCCCCAGTACAGTCACAGATAAGGCCTGGGGAATATAAAAGCATACTGATTTAATTTGCATTGCTGATAGCATGTTATTATGGAAAGAAGTCAAGTTAGTAAAATGTTTATGTATTGTGTATATAAATTGAGATATAAATTTAGTTGTCAAAGGCAAGCATTTGTAAATAATACAACCATAGAATAAAATAGAGCCATCCAAAGTCTTTTTTTCTTTTTAAGACAATTTGATGACATGGTTGTCATGCATACAGTATGTGATTGTGTTAGGGTAGGTTATGGAATAGAAAACACATCATTATCTGAGTTTTACTCTTTTTAAAAGAACAATGTATATGTGTGTCCTTGTGTGCACACACACACTAACATGAGCAACAAAAAAAGGCCAAAAAGAAATGCACAAGATATTTCTTGTAGTTGTTTCTAGGTAGCTTTCAGGTTGTCTACTGTGAACATTTTCAATTGGGAAAACCAAAAATTTTATTTTTCAAATAAACTTATATTCTCAGAATAATTTAGTTTTTTGATAAAGAGAAAATAAATATAAAGTAAGTGATTTTAAATTTTTATTTATTTAATATTAATAAAAAGATTAACTTGTATAATGAATAATTTATTAGAGTACATTAGTGCTATGTAGCTTTTTATAGGAGTCTTGACAAGAATAGTACAAAAACAGTAAAATATAAAATTTTTCTTACTAAATTATAATATTCTCTTCCTCTTAGGGTCGTCTCTTTTATACCTGTGATGGACCCAAAGCTGACCAATGTAAATTTTTCAAGTGGCTTGAAGAAGTGACCCCAGGACATTTAACACAGGAAGCCTCTCTACCTAGCATGGTTTTAAATGATATAAAGAGTATTGGCTTATATCTAAGAAGTCAAAAGATACCCCTCTTTGAGGAATGCCAGCTTTTGGTGAGGTATGTGTCTTGGTACCATATAATGCCTGTAATTAATTATATCAGAAAATAATAACCTCATATGATTGTTACCAGTTTTAAAAGAGATTGAGCTAGGTAAAGTGTCTAAAAGATAGAATACCTCAGTTTTTCTAACTGTAAAATGGAAATAGTTTTCTAAAGGTATTTTTGGCCCCTCTAAACATCAAGCAGTTTCAGCAATATCAGGAGAAATGACAGGCATGCTACTTTTCTAATCATTTTTATATGTAGTCATAATCCTTAGGGAAACCCTGTTGAACAAACCACAAGAATAATTTTTATCAGTGCAGGATAATAGGTAGTGGTCATTCACAAGCCTTAACTAGTTAGTTTTATAGGATAATACAATGCTACATTTTGGAAACATGTCTTCTAAAAGTGGAATTATCCAAAAAGTAGCTCCAATGAATATTTGCATGGTAATTTAATAACATCTATGGGGAGTTTATACATGTCATGCATTCTTCTAAACACTTTGCATGTATTATTTTATTTAATCATCAAAATAACCTAAGAGATATAGAAATAATGAGGATAATTTATTATAGTTATTGAAGCTGAGATACTCTTTTATGTACTTTTTTGATACTTTTCCTAGCTTAGTCTCTTTTATTTTTTAATTTTTAATATTTTTTTAATGTTTTATTTATTTCTGAGAGAGTGAAAGAGAGAGGCAGCATGAGCAGGGGAGGGTCAGAGAGAGAGGGAGACACAGAATCTGAAGCAGGCTCCAGGCTCTGAGCTAGCTGTCAGCACAGAGTCCAACGCGGGGCTCGAACCCACGAACTGCGAGATCATGACCCGAGCCGAAGCTGGACACTCAACTGACTGAGCCACCCAGGCACCCCAAGCTTAGTTTCTTTTAAAACTAATGATAATTCAGGGCACCTGGGTGACTCAGTCAGTTGAGTGTCTGACTTTGGCTCAGGTCATGATCTCATGGTTCCTGAGTGCAAGCCCCGGGTCAGGCTTGCTGCTGTTAGCCTGTCAGTGTGGAACTAGCTTCAGATCATCTGTCTCCTCTCTTTCTGCCCCTCCCTCGCTTGTGCTCCTCTCTCTCAAAAAATAAATAAAACATTAAAAAAAAAGAAAGCTAATGATAATTCTGTGAGGGTTGTACTGTCTTCCTATTTTTTTATTTTGTGTACATGGATGAAAGTATATAAACATACACTTACCCTGGTTCTCTCCTTTTAATACTGTATTTTAAAGATGAAAAAAATATTGTACTTTCAAACTTCCACTTATAAAGTAAGTCCTGGGGTTATAATGTATAGCACGGTAACATTATATATGTTATATATACACATATATAATAGCTATATATATAATAATATATATATCAAGCCATTATATTGTTACACCTGTAACAACAACCATGTTATTGACAATTGTATCTCAGTAAAAATTTGTACCTTAATATTTACATTCATTTTTGTTTTTACTCATTTTGCAGAAAAGGATTTGACTTTCAAAGAAAACAGTATGGCAAGCTGAAGAAGTTTACTACTGTAAATCCTGAATTTTATAGTGAACCTAAAAGCAAACTTTATCTTAAGCTGAGTCGGAAGGAAAGTTCTTCAACATATAGTAAAAGTAAGTTGACCTGATCATGTTGGTGACAGACTCTACTCTTGTATTTCAGTTACATACAGCTCATTCTTTACATGAAAGAGGTTTTACAAAGTACTGCTTAATGGTAGCATATATTGTGAGTTATTGTATAATAAATGAGACCGTTTCCCAAAAGCGTATTTTAAAATTTCATATTATTATTATTTAAAAAATTTTTTAAATTATTTATTCAGGGGCGCCTGGGTGGCTCAGTCGGTTAAGGGTCCAACTTCGGCTCAGGTCATGATCTCACGGTTTGTGGATTCGAGCCCCGCGTAAGGCTCTGTGCTGACAGCCAGCTCAGAGCCTGGAGCCTGTTTCATATTCTGTGTCTCCCTCTCTCTCTGACCCTCCCCTGCTCATGCTGTCTCTCTCTCTCTCAAAAATAAATAAAAAAAATTAAAAAAAAATATTTATTCATTTTTGAAAGTGAGAGAGACAGAGTATGAGCAGGGGAGAGGCATAGAGAGAGGGAGACACACAGAGCACAGAGCCTGACACAGGGCTCAAACTCACAGATCGCGAGAGCTGAAGTCAGACTCTTAACCGACTGAGCCACCCAGGTGCCCCTAAAATTTGAATTTTTAAAAAAAATTTTATTGAAGGCTAACAAAATCTATTTTCATTTAGAAAAATTATACCAGCTTCTTGGCATTATATAAATAAGTATATTGATTCAGCTGTACTCTGACCTAATGTCAAAAATAGACTGAAAATGTGGGCACCTGGGTGGCTCAGTCAGTTAAGCGTCCGACCCATGGTTTAGGCTCAGGTCATGATCTCAGTTTGTAGGTTCAAGCCCTATGTCGGCATCCTGCTTGGGATTCTTTCTCCCTCTCTTTATTGCCACTCCCCCACTCACAAGTCTCTCTCTTTTTCTTTCACTCTTTACTCTGTCTCTCTCAAAATAAAGAAATCAACTTTTTAAAAAAAAATTTTTTTAATGTTTTATTTATTTCTGAGAGAGACAGCGTGAGCAAGGGAGGGCCAGAGAGAGAGGGAGACACAGAATCCGAAGCAGGCTCCAGGCTCTGAGCTAGGTGTCATCAACACAGACCCGATCCGGGCTCAAACCCATGAACCGTGAGATCATGACTTGAGCCGAAGTTGGACGCTTAACCGACTGAACCACCCAGGCGCCCCAAGAAATCAACTTTAAAAAAATGAACTGAAAATGTAATAACTTTATTGATACTTCTGTCATTGTCTGCACAATTTGACAACACTAGACCACAAGTTTTAGATAACTGGAAGTAAAATCCTTAAAAGAATTTTTTTTCTAAGGAGCTTAGATGCACTACATTGGGTTAATTATTATCTTTGGCTTCATGACCTACTCGTATCATTGGTCCTCACCTAGAGTGCTTTAATTATTTAATTATTTTAAATAATGTAATTATCTGTGAATCTATAAACTGAAACAAAAGCAAGTACCTTTGTAGCTACGTACATTTAATATAAAGTAACCCCACTGACTCATCTGGCTGTCTCCTGACCTAAGGTAATTATTTCCTCCCTGTGTTCATCAGCACCTTGCTCCTCTTTGTTTAGAAGTTTACATAAATGAATTCCTAAAGAGCGTACAGTTAACCGTTGAAAACATAGGTTTGAGCTGTGCGGAATCACTTATACATGGATCTTTAAAATAAATACAGTACAGTATTGTAAATGTAATTTATCTTACGACTTTCTTAATAAAATTTTCTTTTTTGTATCTTTATTTTAAGAATAAACAGAAAATTCATATAACATACAAAATATGTGTTAATTGACTGTTTATGCCATCTGTAAGGTTCTGGTCAATAGGCTATTATTAGGTAAGTCTTTAGGGAGTCAAGTTATATGCAGATTTTTGACTGTGGGAGGTTAGCACCCCTACCCTCCATATTGTTCAGGAGTCAATTGTAGTTTAAATTTTTAGTTTTTTTAAAACATTAAAGTGATATAAATCTGTAATCTTTTGGAGTTTACCTTTTTCACTTAGTGACATATTGTTGCAATATAGATATTTTATTGATGTTGATCTGAAATCTAGAGTCTAGATTACTTGCTTTGCTATATCAATTTATTTTGTGAATGTGCCACAGTTTATTCATTTACTCTTCCACAGATGGTGATTTTGGTTTCTAAGTTTTGCCACTGTGAACAGTATGCTACAAATGTTCTTGTACTGTCTTATAGATACGCAAGAGCTTCTTTTGGATATAATTCTAAGAATGAAAATGCCCACACCTTCAGGTTGTAGTTCCAAACTCTTTTCTAAAGTTGTTACGTCAACTGATATTCCTACTATCTTGCATCAGCCTGCTCAGATGGATGTAAAAGGATCTCACTGTGGTTTTAGTTTGCATTTCTCTGGTCACCAATGATGTTGAACAGCTCTTCATGTGTTTTTTGGTTATGTATGTTGTTTCTTGCCCATTTTACTATTGTTTGTAATCTTATTTATCTTTCTTATATATTTTTAATGCTAATCTTTTGTTGATCATGTATATTGTGACTGTCTGCTCACAGTTTGTATCCTGTCTTTTCACTTTACTTTTATTTATTTTTTAAGTTTCATTTATTCAAGTAATCTCTACACCCAACGTGGAGCTTGAACTTATGGCCCTGATATCATGAGTCACACGCTCTTCTGACTGAGCCAGCCAGGCTCCCCTTCACTTTACTTTTAATACACTCTGGTTTGTTAGGGTTTTTTTTTTTTTTTTTTTGGATAATGCTTTCTGTATCTTTAAAAAAAAATTTTTTTTCTTTTTTAATGTTTGTTTATTTTTGAGAGAAAGAGACAAAGTGTGAGTGGGGGAGCGACAGAGAGAGAGGGAGACACAGAATCCAAAGCAGGCTTTGGGCTCTGAGCTGTCAGGACAGAGCCCGATGTGGGCCTCGAACTCACGAACTAAGAGATCACAACGTGTGCCCAAGTTGGACACTTAACCGACTGATCATCCAGACACCCTGCTGTGTCTTATTTTTAAAATCTTTCCCTACACTGAGGTCTAAAATTATTCACCTATATTCTCTACTAATTTTTTTTTTTTTTTAAGATTTTTATTTATTTCTAGGAGAGAGAGAGACAGCGTGAGCAGGGGAGGGTCAGAGAGAGAGGGAGTCACAGACTGAAACAGGCTCCAGGCTCTGAGCCGGCAGCCAGCACAGAGCCCAACGCGGGGCTTGAACCCACCAACTGAGAGATCATGAAAGATCATGAGAGATCAAGCGAAAGTCGGACGCTTAACCGACTAAGCCACCCAGGCGCCCCACTCTACTAATTTTTTTAAAGTTTTGTTTTTGACTTTTTTTTTTTTACTTCTTTAAAGTTTATTAAGGTTTTCTTACTGACATACTACATGAGAAAATCTTCAGTCCATTTGGAGTTTTTATTTTTTTTGTAAATGGTATGAGATAGGGATCCAATTTCATTTTTTTCTCTTTAATTAACAGTTTTACTAGAATAGTGATCATTTTTTATTGATTAGTCCTGCTTTTCCTCTCTAAATTGAAATGCTATCTTTCTTATAGCCAAGTTCAAAATAATGCTGATTTGTTTCTGGACTCCCTATTTTATACTGTTCAATTGTATATGTTCAATTTGTATATCATTGTGTCAATTCCATACTCTGTAAATTACTGTGGCTTCATCTATGGTATACTTCCTCCCTGCTATTTTATTACGTTTTGGAGCTCATACACTGAGATTGTTTTAACATTTTAATATATTGATGTTTATATTTTAAATTGTTATTATCTTAGTAGATTGAAACATTTATTATTTGGAGACTCTTCATCTCTGATAAAACTTTTTTCTTATAATCTAATTATTAATATAACTGAGATTTATTTTGATTAGTATTTGATAAGTCTTCTAATATTCTTGTTCCACCTTTGAGTGTTCCTACATTACAAGAGTGTCCCTCATAAATAGCATGTCTGAATTTTTAAAATTTTGACTTGTGTATGGAATATGTCCTATATTTAAATTTGTAATAGTAATAATAATAATATGCTTGGGTATGTTTCTACAATTTTAAATGATTTCTCTTTATCCCATTTTATCTATGCTCTTTTAAATCCTTTCTTGCTTTTTTTTTAAATTGATACTTAAAATCTTACCCTCCAATAAGACAAGAACTTGCAAAGCACTCACACTTCTTGTTTCTTTCTCCTTTTTTTTTTTAAAGCGATTGTTTCTTCCTCTTGACTTTTTCTTTCACTTTACCCTTACATCATGTTGGTATTTTCTAGAATGGTGCTACTCAAAGTATGATCTGCAGACTGGTTCTAGTACAAAAACCGTTACTGGTTTCCAAAGAGAGGTGTGGAGCTGCACCAGGGTGTTATGAATCACCCATATCAATAAGGAGACAAGTTTAGTTGTGTTTTGTTTTGTTTGTAGCAAGACTTTCTGAATGAAGGAAGCATTGTATTGATTTGTTAAATTGCATTCTAGCACAGACTTTTGAATAGAACTAATCTAAACCTATAAATTTGAGGTTAGTATGGAATTATTTTCTATCTTCTTTGAATGTAACTACTTTTTTAATTTTTTAATTTTTAAAATATTTTTCATATTTATTTTTTTTGGGGTGGAAGGGCAGAGAGAGGAGATACAGAATCCAAAGCAGGCTCCAGGCTCTGAGCTATCAGCACAGAGACCAATGCAGGGCTTGAACTCATGAACCGTGAGATCATGACCTGAGCTGAAGTCGGACACCCAACTGACTTAGCCACCCAGGCGCTTCTGTAACTACTTTTTAAAAGATGACTCAGACTTGTCCAGGGTAATTTAATTACATTCGTTTCATGTATCTCTTTTAGCATTTCCTAAATTTTTCTCTCAATGTATTTCATCAAAAACTGTTTTGAATATATGTTGTTGTACGGTAAACCTTCTAAGCCTTGAATACTTGAGAATATTTTTATTATGCATTCATAATTGAATGATAGTTTGGCTGCATATACAATTCTAGGTTCTAAATTCTTTTTATTTAATAGTTTTGACCCCCAGAAGCAGCAATTTTATATGTTTTAACCAAATATTAATATGCTTAGTTACCTTCTTACTGTTGAAAAATCTGTTGGCATTTGTTATTCCTTTGTATGTTGTTTGCTCTTTCTGACTGGAAGCTTTAGAATTTTCTCTCTATTATAGTTTTATATTTCCCTATAATGTATCTAAATGTGGATTTTTCCTTTTTCTCCTCTTGGGCATACCGTGGGCCTTTTAAATCTATTAAGTCCTCTATCTCCAAACTCATCCAGTATATGCATTACATATGTACAGCTTTTTGTATGTCAGTCATACCTCCATAAGGTGTTAAAAAAAAAAAAAAACACTAAAGTCCTTTATCTTTTTTTTTTTTTTCTGGGAAATTGATTTACTTCATTTCTTCAAGTAATCTTCAGTTTATTTTTATTTCTCAAGACTTTTATTCCAATGTTAGCACCTCTGACTCAACATTTCTTTTATATTGTCTGGCTTTCGTCCTTTCTTCCTTCTAGGAAATATCCTCAGTATGGTCTTCTAAATTGCTTAGTTATTCCTCAAATGTATCCATTCTGTGATTTATCCCATCAATTATAGCTTTATTTCAGCTGCCATATTTTTTCACCCTGATGTTTTTGTTCAACATTTCTTTTTCATTACTTTTGGTTTTTATTTTGCATTGCAACTATCTTCTCTTACTTCTTGTAAAAAATCTCTTTGCCAGCCTAAATTTAAGTGATTAATCCATCTGTTCTGGTATTGCTTTTTCTATAGGACTCTATAACCCAGTATGTTTTTCTTTTGAAGTCTTTGTTCTCCTTAAGTGTCTCATTATTTTGGCCCATGAACTAATTTTCCTCTGGTGGTATCAGCTGTTCCTTCTGGACAGTGCATATAGGTGAAGGCTGACCACAGTCTGGTCTGCTCTAGTAAGGTCAGGGAGTTGGGTTCAGTTCCAGATCTGCAATTGACTGGCCTTGTATCTATGGGTAATTTAACTTCTTGGGGCCAGTCTTCCTTCCACAATAAAATGATGATGATAATAATAGCAGCTATTTGACATTTAAAATGTCTATTGACCCAGAATATAATATAGGTTATTGTGCAGGAGGGGGGTTTAAAGATTTTATTTTTTTAAGGTAATTTCAGCACCCAACATAGGCTCAGATTTACAACCCTGAGATCAAGAGTCACATGCTCCACTAACTGAGCCACCTAGCCTGCCCTAAGCTATTGTGTTTTACTATAAAGAAAATTCCCATAGATACATGACCTGCCAATAGATTCTGATCTATTTACCCTTCCCTGGGGCCCAATGGTTACGTGGGTAGCTGTCCCAGTTCTCTATTCTCTAGCTTGAAGGCTTCCCCTGATAGTCTTTGTTTTAGAGGGTTACATTCTCAAATTAGCCTTAAGACAGATCCTGGTGTCCACTGCTCCAAGAGTGATAGAATTATTCCATCATTCATTAATGTTCAGCTGAGCTTCTACGCTCACAATTCCTCTGTGTCTCCTTGCTTGGTGAGTGAGCCTGAGTGCACTGTGGGAATCTGCTGGGAAGATTCTTCCTCTACCGCCAGCTCCCAGAATTCCTTTCCATCCTCTGCATAGGATTTGGAGTTTCCTAGCTTAGTAAGATTTTATCATCATCCTTTTCATATTCTCTTTGTGGCTTCTGTAGGACTCTCACTGCTCTGAAGTAAGCATGCCTTTCCCTGTCCCACTGGCTATTTTCTAACATTGTGTTGGGTTTGTGTTTTAAATGTCTCCCATCACTTCATTGGGATAGAGAAAGAAAAAGTGAACAATTTCTGTCTTGAATTGGAGATATTTTAAAAAATTTTGATGATTGGGTTAAATAAATACTGGCAAATAAGGAATAAATTGTTTAAATATACATTACCTAAGTTGACAAGTATTTTTTAAAAATTCTATATAAAATATAAATGAACTTTTTAAAAAGTAGTTTCCTAAACATTTTCTAAAACAGTAGTTCTTTGAGGGTATGATAAAAGTCATTGTAAAAAAAATAGGTTCAGTGGCTAAATAAATTTGGAAAGTACTGTGTTAAACAAATAACCTTAATCTAAGATTTTTTCAGAACCTTAAATATGCTGACATAAATTGGGCTTTTCAAGATGGGAATGTAGCCCAGTACACTATCTTTTCTGGTGCAGTTGAGATTTGTGGTTTGTCAGTTAATTTTCAAAGTTGGTTAAAGTCAGGGATTATAATAAATAATGCATATGAACATTAAATATTTTAACTTAAAATATATTAAATAATTTAATGATTTCCTGATGAAGAATCAAGGCTTTTGCTTAGAAGATGGGTTTTTTTGTTGGAGATCTTTTTTATCTTGTATAAACTATACCCACGAATATACCACTCATAAAGATTAATCATTCTGAATTCTTAAACATGGAAAAAGAACTTTTGAAGCAATCTAAGTGGAGAATGATTTAAATGTTTTTAATTTCTTTTCTAATCTTTTACATATACCTCACCTATGCCTGAGTCAAAAGCAGTTTTTTGTGTTTTGTGGTTTTCTTAAAGCAAATCTTAATTCTTTCTAAATTATTACTTTAATTTTCTTAAAACAATTTTTCTTCTTATTCATATAGTTCAAATAATTATACATATAATACATAACTAATCCCACTATTGTTTTTAATGGTTATTTTTGAGCAAGAGAGACGGGGCGGGGGGAGTGTGAGCAGGGGAGGGCCAGACAGAGAGAGAAACACAGAATCCAAAGCAGGCTCCTGGCTGAGATGTCAGCACAGATTCCAGTGTGGGGCTTGAACCCACCAACAGTGAGATCGTGACCTGAGCCAAAGTTGGACACGTAACTGACTGAGCCACCCAGGCACCCCGCAACTGGCTTTTTTAAAACCAAATCTTATTTAATTCTTTCTAAATCTTACTTTAATTTCCTTAAAACAATTATTTTTTCATACTCATAATAGTTCAAATAATTATATTATATATAATTATAACTAATCAAACTGGTATAAATAAGTTTTAGAACAAATATCATTGACTCTTTGTAATAGTAAGCTCAACTGGTGGTAGAAATGGTGTACAGGTATTGTGAAAAGTAGCCTACTAGCTATGCGTGCTCAATAGGCAGTGGAGATGACGTGTTATCAGAAAGGAAGAATGTTAATTCCTCTAGAGTGTCAGTTAAGGATAGGTCCATTCAGAGAACTTGTATTCTATATCCACAGGTTGCCCACTTTATTTGAGCACGAAAACCATTATATGGCAGAGCATCTTTTAGACTAATGCTCTACCTTCGGAAAGTCTGATACAGTTGTAAAGTTTTCTTTTTAAAAATGTTTATTTATTTTGAAAGAGAGAAAGTGAGAACATGAGCAAGGGAGGGGCAGAGAGAGAAAGGGAGGAAGAGAATCCCAAGGAGACTCGAGCTATCTTCACAGAGTCTGTCATGGGGCACATTCTCATGAACCTGGGGCTCGATCTCATGAACTGAGATCATGACCTGCGCCAAGATCAAGAGTGAGATGCTTAACTGACCGAACCACCCAGGTGCCCCTCAATGTTGTGTTTTTTATTTTTATTTTTTTAAGAAATAACATAGGACTAAACATGTAAGAAATCCAAAGTACTTTAAATTGAGCATAGTTCTAAGTTCCTGAAAAAATAATTGTCTTTTCAGATGATCTTTGGGTGGTTTCAAAAACCCTAGACTTTGAATTGGATACTTTTATTGCACGTAGTGCTTTCTTTGGACCATCATCTACCAATGAGGTGGAGCTACTACCTTTGAAAGGTTATTTCCCCTCTAACTGGCCCACTAACAGTAAGTATTGCCATGCTTATATTAATTTATATTAAAAGAAGAATGATAAACATAAGATGCATTGTGAGTAAGGATGCTAACTTTGTTTGGGATTATTTAATTAAGGCCAACAAAAAGCGTCCACCTCTATATCCTATTATTGTAAAAATGTATTGCTTAGTTTTTGTGTTCCTGAAAAATGGGTATAAAAGTCAAATATATAAATATTTCTGCAGTTCAAGTCTCAGAGGGCTAACAATATAATAAAATTTTGAACCCTCACTTAAGTAATTGGTAAAGTTGATTTTTACATAGGCTATACCTGATTTTTAAAAATATAAGCATTAAACATATAAATAGTTATTTTCTCAAATAGTTTCTTACATCAAGTTTTTGATTCTCTTGTCTTTTTAATTCTTTCGGTTATACTAATAGGGTACATTTCGTAAATAAATCGTTTTTTTTACATTGAGAAGGTCTTCTAGATTTTGCAAGAGATTTTGCAACCAGCTGAATAGGAGAGTATGATTTTTATTTTGAGGGTATTTTATCATCTGTCTTGGGAAATTTTTAATAAGTTACTAGGCTACCAGCCTTATTATTTTAATAAAGAAAATTTTAGGCTGAATCCCTATTCAGTTCTAAGAATCTGTAGATTTCTTTATACATCTTGATCTCTGAAATAATTCCTGATGGTTGAATTTCGTCTATAACTAAAGACAGCATTTAATGATTCATTAAGAACTTCATATACATTTTTAACTTTTGATTTTTTTCTTTAAAAACTGAATAAAGCTAGTCAACTAGCTTGAGTCCAGTAAGAGCCTGCCTAATTAACTAAACATTTGCTACTTAATTTGTCACTTTCATATATGTATTTTAATATTTGTTACAGTTGTTTCCTCAGCAAAATCAGCATTCTAACTTTCTGCTTTCCATATATTTCTATAAAATAGTTGAAGAAATGAAAGATGTTCAGAAGTTATACAAATACTATACAGCACAAGGTGGTATGCTGATTAGGTGGAGCTGTCAAGCAGGGTCACCACCTGCTAACTCAAAACAGTTGTTCTTGCTCATTAGTTGATATATAGAAGTCCAAGTTTGATTTAAGTTATGCAATTTATAGATACCTATATAAAAAGTATAAATAAGCAGATCATATAGTAATTTAATGTGTAGAAGTACCTCCCCATGTACTTAAGGGTTTATTTTATGTCATGTGACTAATGCAGCAGCAGAGCTCTGAGTTGTGTAAACATTTTTAATAGTTCTTCTATGATCCATTTTATTTTCATTAAATGATCAGTTTCTGCATTTCCTCTACAGTAGTGGTCCATGCATTGTTGGTTTGTAATGCTAGCACAGAGCTGACCACTTTGAAAAACATTCAGGACTACTTTAATCCAGCTACTCTACCTCTAACACCGTACCTGTTAACAATGTAAGTTATTATTTACCAATGGTCATTGATATTCAAAAATGGTGACTAACTGTGAATATGAAAATGCAGTCAAAGTACATTACATAAATTTTTGCCAAAAATATTTTAATTATCTTTCAGAGATAATTCAGACAGAAGTTACTGTCAGTAGTTAAAAGGATGTTCCTGTAAATTTTGCCTTCCTCAAGGAATAATATTTTAAGGATCTTTTGAGTGTTGATTCTTTTTATTCATTTCTGTTTTTATGCCACAAATTATTTAACATCAAAAAGAATCCTTTTAGTGGGAATGCAAACTGATGCAGCTACTCTAGAAAACAGTATGGAGGTTCCACAAAAAATTAAAAATAGAACTACCTATGACCCAGCAGTTGCACTACTAGGTGTGTATCCAAAGGATATAGGAGTGCTGTTTCGAAGGGCACATGCATCCCAGTGTTTATAGCAATGCTATTGACAATAGCCAAAAAATGGAAAGAGCCCAAATGTCCATCAACTGATGAATGGTTAAAGAAGATGTGGTATGTAGATACAATGGAATATAACTCGACAATCAAAAAGCATGAAATCTTGCCATTTGCAACAACGTGGGTAGCACTAGAGCATATTATGCTAAGTGAAATTAGTCAGAGAAAGACAAATATCGTGTGACTTCACTTATAAGTGGTATATAAGATGCAAAGGTGAACAAAAGGGAAGGGAAGCAAAAATAATATAAAAACAAGGAAGGAAACAAAACATAAGAGACTTTTCAATGCAGAGAACAAACTGAGGGTTGCTCGTGGGGTGTTGGGTGGGGGGATGGGCTAAATGGGCAAGAGGCATTGAAGAGGGCACTTGTTGGGATGAACACTGGGTGTCATATGTAGGTGATAAATCACTGGATTCCACTCCTGAAATCATTGTTGCACTATATGCTAGCTAACTTGGATGTAAATTTAAAAAATAATAAAATAAAATGAAAAAAGAATCCTTTTTACAGGTTGAATTCAGTATGTATAGTAATACTATTTTTTTAAACCTAATTTATTTTGAGAGAGAGGGAGCGTGCATACATAAGCAGAGAAGGGACAGAAAGAAAGAGAGAGAGAGAGAGAGAGAAAATCCCAAGCAGGCAGGCTCCATGCTGTCAGCACAGAGCTCAGTGTGGGGCTTGATCTCATGAACTGTGAGATCATGTCCTGAGCCAAAGTCAAGGGTTGGACCGTTAACAGACTGAGCCACCCAAGTGCTCTGTACTAACTTTATTCTTTTCTTTTTTATGTTTTATTTATTTCTGAGAGAGAGAGAGAGAGAGACAGAGTGAGCAGGGGAGGGTCAGAGAGAGAGGGAGATACAGAATCTGAAACAGGCTCCAGGCACTCAGCCACCCAGGCTTCAGCTTCCTGAGCCGAAGTTGGATGCTTAACCAACTGAGCCACCCAGGCTCCCCATGTACTAACTTTATTCTTAACATAACCTTAATTTCTTGAGTTTTAAAATACCCCTTTTTAAAATATTGGAAGTGATATTCTCTTAAATTCCCTAAAATGGTAGATAAAGTCTATTTTCTAATTTGGAATGTTATGGGTGCTTTCTTTCTCTCACTATAATGAAGTTCTAGATTAAAAAATAAAAATCATTCTGATTCCATTATGTTATTATCTATCTTTGTTATTTAATCTTTGAAATGAATTCATTGTTTATGAAAATAGAAATAAAATCAATGTATTTATTACAGTTTTACCTTAAATAGAGGCTGTATTAATTATCAAGACAGCCTGTATGACAGAACATGGGCTTTAAAGTCAGTACACCACTTATTATCTGCATGCTTTTTGGGAAAAAAATAATATTTCTGCATCTTATTAAGGCTAAATAACTACTTCTTAGTATTTTTTTAAGACTACATCAAATAGGGGCGCCTGGGTGGCTCAGCTGGTTAAGTGTCTGACTTTGTCTCAGGGCATGATCTCATGATTCATGAGTTCAAGCCCCATGTCAGGCTCTGTGCTGACAGCTCAGAGCCTAGAACCTGCTTCAGATTCTGTGTCTCTCCCTCTCTCTCTGCCCCTTCCCCTGCTCATGCTCTGTTTCTTTCTCTCTCTCAAGAATAAACAAACATTTAAAAATTTTTTTAAAAAATAAGGTTACATCAAATAATATGTAAAATGCTTAGCATAGTACCTGCACATAGTTGGTATTCAATATAGTATTAAAATGTTAATTTTCTTCTCCACCACCCTCCTTCAAAATGGAGCATTTATCCATTTGTGCCCTTAAAAATGTCCTCTCTGATCCTTATGAAATGAAGGTTATTAATAGGTTTACTCACTATTTAAAAAACCCATAATTTTTCTTTCATTTTTTTTTTTTGCTGCCTTTTTACTAGGTCTTCATCAACTATAGTTAGCAATAAGAAAGTCAGTAAGAGAAAATTTATCCCACCAGCCTTCTCAAATATCAACACAAAATTTGAACTGCTCAGCCTAGAAGCAACATTGCAGTTAGCTAGTCAATTGATCCAGGCACACAAGTTAAATGAGGATCAAGCTACAGCCTTAATTCAGATAGCTCAAATGATGGCCTCGCACGGAAATGTTGATGTGAAGGAACTGCAAACACATACCCTCCCTATCACGATCATACATGGTAAGGAGCAAGAAAGAAAACCGTTCTAAAAAATATACTATTATATATGCTTTTGTAACTCTGCTTGTAATTCCCTAACTACAGAAGATTCCAGAATGACTCTACTTTGATTATTTTGAATCTGAGCCTAGTCTAGTAAGCTATTAGATGAGAGCAGAGCTGACCACCCTGAAAGGGGGAATAGGCAGCATATCTGATGAATGAATAGCATTATATAGTCGTTATTCACAGTATCCAGATTTGATCTAGATATCTCTGTGTTGCACCATCAGAATGAACTTCAAGTCTGAGTAACAAAGCCTTTAGTCACTCCTAGTGAGCTCACTCTTTGATCCCCCCCCAGCAGCTCTTCCAAACCTTTAACCTCTCCTGGCCCTGCCCTACTCCCTCTGAAATTAATTCTGCCTTTAAAAGAGGAAATGGAGTTTATAACAGAAATTCCTCTCAATATCCTGCTCGCCTCCATTTTACCCAAGTTTGAACCTATTTTTACCTCTTTTGGTTCTGTCCCAGTAAAGGAGCTTTATTTACTTCCTCTTCTCCAGAGCTAATAATTCTATCTGGATTGTCACCTCTTTAGCTCATTTCCTCAAACATTCACTCCAAAGCTATTTTGTGTTATTTTGAGAATTTATATGACATCCACCCTGTCAACCAAGCTAGATACCTGGAGTCATCCTTGATTATTCTTTCTCCTTAGATGAAGTGACTCTCTTCACTTCTTCACATCTTCCTCCTCCTCTCTGTTTATCTCCCCCCATCCGATCAGTCACCAAGATGTTTCACTTGTGGTTTCTACCTTTCTTTCCTATAAGTTTTCTCTCCAGGTCTCCATCCAAGCCTTCACTGTACCTCCATATGGCCTGGTGGTGAGAAGGTGGGCTCTAGAGCTGGAATCCTGGATTTATATCCTGGCTCTCTTATTTATTAGCTGTATGGTCTTAGCAGGTTACCTATCTCTTAGCTTTAATTTCCTACTTTGTAACATGGAGTTGATAATAGCATCTTTCTCTTCAGGTTGCAGGACTATGTGAGTTAACATTGGTAAAGGGCATAGAATGGTGTCTGGCACATAGACGGCACTGAGGAAAGTTAGCATATATTATTGCTAACTTATTGGTTATCTCGTACTCCTTTCTAACTGATCCACCTTTAGTTTTACCTTTTAATATTTTCACTCAAGTAGTTTTTACAAAATAAGGTCTGCCTAAGTCACTTCTATTGCTGAAAATCCTTCAGTGACTTTCCCTGGTCTGCAAGCCAAAATTTAAACTTTTTAGCCACACTAAGCAGAACTCTTGTGATTTATCTTCTTGCCTACCATGTCCGCTTTGTCTCTTACTTGTTTTGCTATAGGCTCGATAGAAATAGGTAACATCTACATACCTTGTCATGCCTTTGCCTGGAATGACTCTTTCTTTAAGCAGCCTGGATATCTTATGCTGGAAGACTTAGCTCTGCTACTTCTTATTTTTAGGAAGCATTCCCATCTCCACCAAAGCAGAGAGGAATGTTCTTTCTTTGATACAATAACAGTGTTCCTTCACTTTGATTTCCTGCGTAGAATCATTAAACATGGACGTCTTTGATCACTATGTATTATATGTATCTATGTATGTATGTGCAAAGCACATAGTAGTCACTCAGTGGATGTTTTCTTGAAAAATTAATTAAGTGAAAGGGAGCAGGAAGCAGATGGATGAAATATTTCTTGTACTTTCAAAAACTTATTTATGACATTGCCTTTATTCTTTTTCCCCTTCCTTCAAAATAATTAGGTGTTTTTGGAGCAGGGAAGAGTTATTTGCTGGCAGTGGTGATTTTGTTTTTTGTACAGCTATTTGAAAAGAGCGAAGTTCCTATGGTTGGAAATGCAAGACCATGGAAACTTCTCATTTCTTCTTCTACTAACGTAGCTGTGGACAGAGTACTTCTTGGGTAAGTATGACTAGTGTATTTCAGTATCTAATATTTTTTTTATTTTTATTTTTTTACAAGTTTTATTTACTTAAGTAATCTCTACACCCAACGTGGGGGCTCAAACTCATGACTCTGAGATCTAGAGTCACACACTCCTCCACCTGAGCCAGCAATGTGCCCCTAATTAAGCAATTTTTGATCAGTTAATTTTTCCATAGTTTTGCCATTATAAATAATATTGTGACAAAATCCTTAAGTATAAAACTTTGTCTTCGTTTCTGATTCTTTCCTTTGAAACAGTCTCATGTCTAGAATAAAAGATATAAACTTTTTTTTTTTAAATTAAGTCAGCTCTGTGCCCAATGTGGGGCTTAAACTCTCAACCCCTAGATAAAGAGTTGCACTTACTAATTGAGCCAGCCAGGTGCCCCAAGATATAAATATTAAAAAAATTTTTTTTTAATATCACATTTTTTTAAATGTTTCATTTTATTTTTTGAGAGAAAGAGAGAAACTGTGAGCAGGGGAGGGGCAGAGAGAGAGGGAGACACAGAATCCGAAGCAGGATCCAGGCTCTGAGCTGTCAGCACAGAGCCCGACGTAGGGATCAAACCCACAAACTGGGAGATCATGACCTGAGCCGAAGTTGAAAGCTTAACCGACTGAGCCACCCAGGCGCCCCATAAAAAATTTTTTAAGTTTGTTTGTTTGTCTATTGCAAGTTTATTTATTTATTTTGAGAGATATAGACAGAGAGAGAGGCAGAGCCTGATGTGGGGCTCAAAACACCGTGAGATCATGACCTGAACCAAAATCAGGACTCAGATGCTCAACTGACTAAGCCACCCAGGTGCCCCAGGATATAAACATTTGTAAGCTTGCTAATGTATTTTGCAAAATAGTCCTTCAGAAAGGGGGTGATGTGTGTATAAGAATGATCATAGCCTTTGGAGGTAGACAGACTTGCCTAGGTTGAATCATGGCTGACTCCACTTATTAGCTATGTGACCTCAGTGAAATACCTCACTTTTTTTTTTTGGAGTCCTCATCTCTAATATTGAGATATTATCATGCAGAGCTATAATGAGTATTAATTGAGATAATGTATGTAAACATAAGGTATGTATTCCTAATAAATCCTGATGCTAAGTATATGGTAGCTACTCTTTTCTGAATTATGTTGTTAGAGTCCATTTTATATGTAATAAATACTAACATCAGCATTTTTATAAACATTTAATGAACGCTCAGTTGAATTTAAAAATTCTCTATAAAATGCATTATGTAAAAAAACTTTTAGCTACATTGCATTTAGTCTGAGTTTGACATTTCAGATTGACTACTATAACTATAAAATACACTGTTACACAAAATTAATTTTATTAACATAAATATTATATGTAACTTTGCCTAATATTTTTCTAAATAATCAGAATCTATTTTACCTTGTTTTCTTTAAAGGCTTCTCAGTCTTGGATTTGAAAAGTTTGTCAGAGTTGGGAGTGTTAGGAAGATTGCCAAACCAATTCTACCTTATAGGTAAGAACACTGAATTCCAAAAGTCACAGAGTGCTGAAAGAAGTATAATATTTTTTAAAGTTTATTATTTATTTTTGAGAGAGAGAGAGCGCGCGCTCACGTGCAGGCCCACATGAGTGGGGAAAGGGCAGAGAGCAAGAGAGGGAGAAAGAGAGTCCCAAGCAGACTCCACACTCATCGTGGAGCCTGACACTGGGGCTTGATCCCACCACCTCGAAATCATGACCTGAGCCGAAACCGAGAGTCACTTGATCAACTAACTGAGCCACCCAGGTGCCCCAAGAAGTATCATAATTTTATATAACTCTTACCTTAAATTTGGTTTCTGAAGAAGAGTAGAGAAAGCTTTATCTTTTTTTTGGTTAACTTAGAAATCTGTATTTTACTATTTTATACCATGAAAATGGGATAAAGAGAAATTTCTTTTATGTAATACTTTTTTTTAGTTTACATGCTGGCTCAGAAAATGAAAATGAACAACTAAAAGAACTACATGCACTTCTGAAAGAAGACTTAACTCCTCTGGAAAAGGTCTATGTCAGGAAAAGTATTGAGCAGCATAAATTGGGAACCAATAAAACCCTGCTGAAGCAGGTAAGTTTGTTTCTTAATTTATATGTACCATTCAGATTTCTCTCATTCTTGTTGATGGGGAATATTTCCTTTAAATAAAACAAATGCCTGTGATAGTTTAGATTCAAATAAGGTGTGTGTATGTCTATCCAATGCATGTTTTATCCTCTCACAAAACGTTCTTCAAATTTGTGAACAGATCCAGCTTACTATGACTGAGTTATCCTTTCTCCTCTTCTGTATTTGTGTATGTGTGTCTGTGTGTGTTTGTGTATGTTTGTGTATTTATAATTTTGAGAGAGACTGAGAGAGTATGTGCGGGGAAGGGGCAGAGAGATGGGGAGGGAGAGAATCCCAAGCAGGCTTTGCACTGATAGCACAGAGCCCGACATGGGATTTGAACTCATGAAGCTGTAAGATCATGATCTGAGCTGAAATCAAGAGTCATATGCTCAACCAACTGAGCCACCCAGGTGTTCCTGTTTGTATATCTTTTTATAAGCTTAAAGAGGAAAGAGAAGAAGATTTTATTATTAATAAATTATTTTCTAATTTATTATACAGGTTATATATAAATATATTATTTAGAATAATTATTTATTATTAAGAAAAACTTCCCCTTAAAGAGGAAAGAGAAGATAGATTTCTTGGCGAGATAAGTGAAACTTTTTCTAGGTGAAATAGGAGAGGAGAAGGAGGTCTGACCTGGGCAAAACATCAAGTGAAATTTATCTTTAATGTTTTCCTAGAAAGCCAAGCCTTTCAGGGTCTGTTTGTATCTGAGAATCTAGGAGGCTCCGATACTTGCTTCTAGATATTGGGAGCCCAGACCAGACACACAGTATCCTCACCCATAACAGGCAGCATCAGCCCCTTTATCAGCCTCTGATGCAGAGCAGCTTACGTCAGCTGGCAGCTCATAAGAAAGAAGCCGATGAGGAGCTTCCACCAGTGAAAGGAGAGCATGGAGAAAAGAAAGAGGAACAGAGGAAAAGGGAGTTGTTGGGTTGTTGGACCACGTGGACATTGGTCACTTTCTGCAAGAGATTTGGAAAAATCAGGGCACCTGGGTGGCTCAGTCAATTGAGCGACCAACTCTTGGTTTCGGCTCAGGTCATGATCTCACAGCTCATGAGTTCAAGACCCGCATCGGTCTCTGCACTGACAGTACAAAGCCTGCCTGAGACTCTCTCTCTCTCCCTTTCTCTCTCCCCCTCTCTCTCTCTGTGAAGATAAATAAACTTTAAAAGAAATGTATAAAAAGAGATTTGGAAAAATCACCGTGCTTGGGTCCCGGTATTGCTTAGCTATTTTCAAATAATGCTGCTTAACAAACAAAATCTCAGTACTCTAAGACAACAAACTCATGACTCTAGAGGTGGCTTGGCATGGCCCAGCTTGAGGCTATGGTTCAGGTCTCTCATTCTGAGAACAGGTGGCTGTGGCATGATGGCCTCCTGACAGAGACAGAAGCGCAAGAAGAGGGGCTGGATCACACAAATACATTTAAAATGTTTATTCATATTATGTCTGCTAATACTCCGTTTGCTGTAACAGGTCAGATGGCCAAGCTCAGCAATAGTGGGACAGGGAAATACACTCCACCTACTTCCCTGGTGGGAAGCGCTGCAAAGTCACCTGGCCAAGGGTGCGGAAGTGTAATTTCTCACAAGGAGGGAGGAGGAATTGCAAATGATAACCAATCTGCAACAAATTTCACTTACAGAAGTCCTCAGAAGGCTTCAGACTAGCTATTATTTTGAGTTATAGAGTCAACTCTACTTCCTTCTCTGCTTAATCCTGAGGGCTTAGTTTGACGGTGTTCAATCAGTGCAAATTAATCATTTATGTAAATTATTTACCATTTTTGTCACTTATCCAACATAATATTGATATGTAAGAATAATAGTTCATGACTTCTTTGATAATTTACTTTTTTTTAAGATTTAATTTTTAGTTATTTTTTTTTACAAATATTTTATTGTCAAGTTGTTTCCATATAACACCCAGTGCTCATCCCCACAAGTGCCCTCCTCCATGCCCATCTCCCACCTCCTCCCCTCCCCCATCAGTCCTCAGTTTGTTCTCAGCATTCAAGAGTCTCTCATGGTTTGCCTCTCTCCCTCTCCCCCACTATTTTCCCCCTTCTTCTCCCCACGGTCCTCCGTTAAGTTCCTCCTAATCCTCCTATATGTGCAAACATATGATATTTGTCCTTCTCTGCCTGACTTATTTCGCTCAGCATAACACGCTCAAGGTCCATCCATGTTGCTACACATGGCCAGATTTCATTGTTTCTCATTGCCATGTAGTATTCCATGGTATAGATAAACCACATCTTCTTGATCCATTTGTCCGTTGATGGACATTTAGGCTCTTTCCATGTTTTGGCTATTGTTGAGAGTGCTGCTGTGAACATTGGGGTACATGTGCTCCTATGCATTCTTTGATAATTTTCTAGGTGAAAGCCCAGATAGCATAATCTATTGCTCATTGGTAATATCTGTTCACAAATCAGAACTCTTTTAAAGGAAACATTTTTCTTAAAGTTTTATTTATAACAAATTTCCAAGGTCCAATTAGGCATTCAGAGGTAACACATTTCTAAAGTGGCATGTCTTTACAATAAAATTAATTTTAAAAAATGCTTCATGAGTAACTGCAATTTCCTAGATCAATAATAAAAATCTCTTCTGTGGTTAGAATCTCAGCAGTAGAAGGACAAATTAAGAGATATAAGTAATATAATATTTTATTGTATTTTTAAATATAATTTATTGTCAGTTTGACTAACATACAGAGTATAAAGTGTGCTCTTGGTTTTGGGGTAGATTCCTGTGGTTCATCACTTACATACAACACCCAGAGCTCATCCCAACAAGGGTCCTCCTCAATAATAATGTAATATTCTAAAGAAAACTTAGTTCTCTAGGCTTTTGTATTACTTATTTAACTAAAAACATTGCTTCCTGGCTCACAACTTTAGGGTTCTCATTCTAAGGTTGTCTTACCAGATATAGTTTCCAGAAATTAAGTGAGGAATGATACTTGAAAGTGGTACCATGAGAGTGTATAGTGCTATACTAGTGTCCCCTGCTGGATCCATTTACAAGAGCTAAGAATTTAAAAACTGTGGAGTTTTAATATAAATGGGGCTTTTGGGGGTGCCTGGGTGGCTTAGTTGGTTAAGCTTCCAACTTTCACTTAGGTCATGATCTCACGGTTTGTGGGTTCGAGCCCTGCGTCGGGCTCTGTGCTGACTGCCAGCTCAGAGCCTGGAGCCTGTTTCAGAGTCTGTGACTCCCTCTCTCTCTGACCCTCCCCTACTCATGCTGTCTCTCTCCTAGAAATAAATAAAACATTTAAAAAAATAAATAAATAAATGGGGCTTTGGGATTTTTGTTTGTGTTTTTAACAAAAGGAAAACCTAACTGACAAAGGATTATTGTGTGTGTTAAATGCTATTTATTATTAAAGAAAATAAGATGTTTATAATATTTCTTGTTTCACAGGGTCTATTTGATTTGTAAAGTATATTTTTGTCAGTCACGTTTGTTGACTGAAAAATATAATTAGTTTGTGTGGACTGTCCTTGCTACCAAGAAGCAGAATTATACTTCAGATTGTTACAAGAGAAAAAAAATATATATGTATGTGTGTGTTTGTGTATGTGTGTATGTAGCTGTTAGACTACCAGAGCAATGACCATATCTAATTAGAAAATTCAGTCATGTTCCTCTTGTTTATATTTAGTTGAAGAGATTAAATATGAGCTGGTTTTTTTTTTTTAAATCAGGCTTTTTGTCTTGAGAATAATGGTATTCTGCTACCACATTTGAGACTTATAAGATTCAAATATACTTACAGGACACAAGTACACTCTAATTTACTGTTCTTTAGACATAGTTAGCCATCTTTACTTTCTTAAAGAGGTTAAAATCCTAGTGTGCTTGAAGGTTAAACAGACTCCAGTTCCTTAGCATGTTCAGTGCTCTTCGTGGAGAACTTCAGCCTGTGTTGATAATAATACATGTGTCTATTTAGCTTCATCTAGAAGGATAAAATATGTATGTCCCATCCTTAATATTTTTTAAATCCTTGATATTATACCTTCCTTGTGAATGTCAAAATGCATCTTTTATTTGTTCTTATTAAGGGGCTTGTGACTTAAATAGCCTCTATTCTGTGACTTCCATTCCCTATGTGGGAATAACAAAAATGTGGAAATAAAGTGACCTATGATTCCTGATTGCCAGTAATTAAATTAGGACAGCTCATTTCTGACTTTAGTCCACAAGTTCTTTGGTAAATACATTATCTTATTTTTAAAAAATATTTTACTTAATATTCTTATTGTAATAAAGGTGCGGGTAGTTGGAGTTACCTGTGCAGCCTGCCCATTCCCATGCATGAATGATCTTAAATTTCCTGTAGTTGTGCTGGATGAGTGTAGTCAAATAACCGAACCGGCCTCTCTCCTTCCCATCGCAAGGTAACGTAAAAACTTCCTTTCCAAAATGCACTCATATATCATAATTATTTCAAATAATTTTGCACTTCAAACTCTTACCAACCTTTTGTGAAAATTCCTAGCAATTTAGGTACTAAAGCGATTTTTTTAAAAGAATGCAGAGGGAAATTTGAGGGTGGTAATATGTCAAAATTTTGTTAGATCACAGATTAGACATTTGGGTCACATAATTTTTTTTTTTTTAAGTTTTCGTTTTAATTCCAGGTAGTTAACATACAGTGTTATATTAGTTTCAGATGTACAATACAGTGATTCATCAATTCTGTACATCGTCCTGTGCTCATCACAAGTGCCCTCCTTAATCCCCATCACCTGTTTCAACCCATTCCTGCCACCCACCTCCCCTCTTGCAATCATCTATTTGTTCTCTATAGTTAAGATTTTGTTTCTTAGTTTATCTCTCTCTTATTTTTTCCCTTTCTTGTTTATTTTTAAATTCCACATATGAGTGAAATCATATGGTATTTGTCTTTCTTTGACTGATTTGTTTCACTTAGCATTATATTCTCTCACTCCATCTGTGTCATTGCAAATGGCCAGATTTCATTCCTTTTTTATGGCTGAATAATATTCCATTGTATCCATTCATCAGTGGATGGACACTTGTGCTGCTATTATATCTTGCCTATCGTAAATAATGCTGCTATAAACGTGAGAGGGCATGTATCCCTTTGAATTAGTATTTTTATATCCTTTGGGTAAATACCTAATAGTGCAGTTGCTAGATCATAGGGTAGTTGTATTTTTAACTTTTTGAGCTGTTTTACATGGTGGCTGCACCAGTTGGCATTCCCACCAACAGTGTACGAGGGTTCCTTTTTCTCCACGTCCTGGCGAACGCCTGTTGTTTCTTGTGTTGTTGATTTTAGCCATTCTAACAGGTGTGAACTGATATCTCCTTGTAGTTTTGATTTACATTTCCCTGATGACAGGTCACATAATTTCTAAAGCCTTGATAACACTAGTGCTAGAATTATACTAGGAACTTGCAGGTTTCTCAACTAGATTAAAGGCTCTTCTTTAGTTCTAATTTGAGAACCTAAATCTACTGAAGAATGTTCTTTAGTTGCTTACTTTATAAAGTTCCAGTGTTTGGGTTCTGAAAATAAAATTTATGTTATGAAAGGATATAAACTATATACAGAAAAATGAGTTGAAAATGAAAGTTTGTCTATTAAAATTTAGAAAACTATGAAATCTTCTAAGCTATATCAGCTAATTGAAACATTGTACCTTTAAAGCATCTCTAACTGAGGGATCCTAAAGGCAGTGTAAAGAGTGCTAGACTTGGAGTCAATAGGCCTGAGTTCTAATCCTTGTTCTATCCCCAGTTAATGAGGGGACAGGGTACCAGCTGTCATGATTTGCCCGGGATTTGGGATGTCCTGCATCACGGGAATTTTAGTTTAAACAGGGACAGTCCTGGGCAAACCGAGATGAGTCGGTCACCCCCCACTCAGGAGCCAGGAATGGAGGAACAGTAAAGGCCCTGCACGGAGTATAGAGGAGTAATACTTGTGGAGTACCTACTGTATATTAAATGCATTATGTACTTTACTAAGTCCTTTTAACAGTTATGCAAGGTAGTAACATCCAGGTCATTGGTAAGAGTGCTGAAGCTTGGAGAAGTTAAATAACTTGTTGTATCCATAGAATATAATAGAGTTGAGATTTAGACACAAGTTTTCTACAAAACATTGGATATTTTCCCACAATATCCTACATCAATTTAGAAAGACATTTAGCTCCAGGAACTTAATTTATTTCATCTCTAAAGCAAGAGTTTAAGGCAAATGACTTCTAAGAAAGCCTCTAAGTTTACAGAATTTAAAAGTCATTGTTTCTCAAAATGTGTTCTGCAAAATGCTAATTCCATGCTGGGGCAGGGGGATATTTAGTAAGTTTTATGTAGGAAAAAGTTGTAAAGGATTTTTTACTGAGTAAGTTCAAATCCTTTTAATACATTTATTAGCATTATTAAGCCTCGTTAGTTGCCAGAACTCTTCGGGAACACATGGAAAATAGTGCAGCAAATGATGTCAATGCATGCCTTCTCTTGTTGCTTAGATTAATTTTTGGAATTCTGTTTTTAGGTTCGAATGTGAAAAGCTGATTCTTGTTGGAGATCCCAAACAGCTTCCTCCTACTATTCAGGGTTCTGATGCAGCTCATGAAAATGGATTGGAACAAACTCTTTTTGATCGGCTTTGCTTAATGGTACTACTGCTCAATTCATACAGAATTATCATTTACGTATTATATACTGTGTAGATTGATAGAAAATAAAAATATTAGAAGACCTAGTCCCTGCCCAAGATAATTATAACTGTTTAGGAAGTACCCCTCTTAAAGATAACTAGCACTCTGTAATTTAAGTGCCCTCTTATAGACAGGCGAGAATTCTACCACTGAACCACCCATGCTAAGTGCACTTTTATAAAGTGAATCTTTTCCCCATATACGACTTTAGTAGTGGGTAGTAAATATATTGCTTTTGCTCTAAAATCTAAAAATACTGTATGTCTCTACTATCCATGTCCCCTATTGTAGAGCTGTTGTAGAGTTACGCTTTGCATTTAAAAGAATTTTTTGAATTAATTATATATCTACTATATATATTTTAACATTTATTTTCAGAGAGAGCTAGAGGAGAGAGAGAGAGCGTGAACGGGGGAAGAGCAGAGAGAGAAGGAGAGACAGATCCCAAGCAGGCCCTGCACTATTAGGGCAGAGCCCAACACAGGACTCAAACTCATGAACCATGAGATCATGACCTGAGCCGAAATCAAGAATCTGACACTTAACCAACTGAGCCACCCAGGCACCCCTAATTATTAATACATTTTTAAATAGAGGTGACATTCACATACTATAAAATTAACCATTTTTAAAGTGAATAATTTGGTGACATTTAATACGTTCAAAATACTGTGTAACCACGGGCTCTATTTATTTCAAAACACTTTTATCACCCCAAAATATAACTTTATACTCAAATAGCAGTTTCTCCATTTCCTCCTCTCTCCAGCTCCTGGCAACCATGAGTCTGTTTTCAGTCTGTATAGATATATCTAGTCAGGACATTTTATATCATACAGTCTTACAACTTTCATATCATATACAACCTAGAATGTATATAATATGTGACCTTTCATGCCTGATTTCTGTCACTTAGCATAGAGTTTTTGAGGTTCATCCGCATTGTAGCATATATCAGTACTGTATTACATTTAAAAAAATGCATTCACAATGTACTGCAGCCATTACCCTACTTATTTTATTATCCCAGCAGAAACTTTGTACCCATTAAACACTAATTCCTCATACACTTCTTTCCTGTGTTCCTGGTAACCTCTATTCTGCTTTCTGCCTCTGAAATTTCCTACTCTAGGTGCTTCATGTAAGTACAATCATATGATATTTGTCCTTTTGTGTTTGGCTTATTTACTTGGCATAATTCATTCAGAGTTTGTCTATGTTGTAGTATTTATCAGAATTTCATTCCTTGTTAAGGCCAAATAATATTCCATTGTATATAATATCACATATCATTTATCCACTCATGTATGGATGGATATTTGGGTTGTTTCTGACTGTCAACTATAGTGAATAACGGTGCCATGAACATTGGTATACAAATACCTATTCAACTCTCTGCTTTCAGTTGTTTTGAGTATACACGCAGAAGTGCTGCTACTGGGTCATATAATAATTTTTTTTTTTAATCCATTCTCTTTGTTTTTTAACTTTGTATTCAAATTCCAGTCAGCTAACATACAGTGTAATATTAGTTTCAGGTGTACAATATAGTGATTCATCACTTCCATACATTACCCGATGCTCATCACAAGAGCCCTCACTAGGCCTCATCACCTATTTAACACCCCCCCCCCCCCACTTCCCCTCTGGTAACTACATCAGTTGGTTTTCTGTAGTTAAGACTCTGTTTCTTTTCTTTTTTCGTTTTTTTTTTTTTTTAAACATTTATTCATTTTTGAGAGACAGAGCTCAAGCGGGGCTTGGGCAGAGAGAGAGGGAGACACAGAATCAGAAGCAGGCTCCAGTCTCTGAGCTGTCAGCACAGAACCCAATGCGGGGCTTAACTCATGAACTGTGAGATCAGGACCTGAGCTGAGGTCAGACACTTAACCGAGTGAACCACCCAGGTGCCCCTTGACAGTTTCCTTTGATGAACAAAAGTTCCGTAATTTTGGTGAAATCCAATTTATCTTTTTTTTTTTTTTTTTCTTGTGTTGCTTGTGCTTTTGGGGTCAGATCCATGAAGCTTTGTCCAGTATTATACAGATTTTCCCCACTGTTTTCTTCTAAGAGTTTTATTGTCTTAGTCTTACATTTAACTTAAGATTCTTTAATCCATCTTGAGTTTATTTTTGTAAAGGTTCTTTTTTTCCATGCATATATTCAGTTTTCCCAGCACCATTTGTCAAAAAAATCTATCCTTTTTCCCCATTGAATGGTTTTGGCACCCTTGTCAAAAATCAGTTGACTATGTACAGGTTTCTTTCTGTGCCCTCTATTCTAGTCCATTGGTCTATATTATTTAATTTTTTATGGCTGAATAATATTCCATTGTATGCATATACCAATTTGCTGATCTATTATTACTATTGTTTTGATGCAATATTGTAAATCAAGCTATTTTTATAAGCAGATTAAAATATTACAGCCAAAATAATATATAAAACCTACCAAAAGAAAAATTTTATCAATGTTGCTAGTTTAAATTGAATTTAAGGAGTTATTTTGCTGTTTGAACTTTCAATAATCTGTACTTTTTTGAGAGAGAGAGAATGAGAGAGGAGAAAGAGAGGGAGGGAGGGAGAAAGAGAAGTGGGGCTCACCCAAAGTGGGGCTTGTGCTCATGAACCATGAGTTCATGACCTGAGCTGAAGTCAGATGCTTAACTTACTGAGCCCCCCAGATACCCAATATTCTGTACTTTCTTAACAGAAGAAGACAAATGAAAATGAAACTAAAAGAATGATTAAATTTCAAATAAATGTTTCTTCACCCTTAAGAGATAGTATTTTCTAAAAGATCCTTCTAAGAAGATTTTACATGGATGGATTGATTGCTTTGCTCTAAAAGGTAGACATATTAGTGCTCTCATGCTTTCCCCCTTTTCTTATCCCTTCCCATATTCCTATTTTATTAGTTACATTATTCTTTTTGTTCTATAATTATAATTTGTATAGTTGTTTAGAATCATTCTATATATTTTTTAACTTTCAAAAAAAGTGTTTATTTTGAGAGAGAGAGAGAGTGTGTGCTCACATTCATGGATGTGGGGGTAGGCAGAGAGAGAGGGAGAGAGAAAATCCCAAACAGGCTCCACACTGTCAGCATAGAGCCCTGACCCAAGGCTCAGTCTCACAAACTGTGAGATGATGAGCTGAGCTGAAATCAAGAGTCAGGTGCTTAACTGACTGAGCCACCCAGGTGACCCTAGAATTAGTTCTATATTTAGAAGTTTCTATATCATTCATCTGGGTGCCTTGGACTTCATCCTCATTTTTTTTCAAGAGTGGCTTATAGATGCATACTTTCCTGAGTCCTTTTTGTTTCATAATGTATTGCTTTTAAATGTAAAAGGCATCTTGGCTTATTGAATAATTGCATCAAGTATTACTGTGAATTGTAGGGCCAGCCTGATTATTTTTCCCTTGTAATGATTTATTTTTCCTACCTGGCTACAAGAACTCTTTTTATGACCTTAAAGTTTATAAATTTGCCACAGTATATCTCAGTGTGGAGCTTTCTGCAACTAATCATTCTGTAATGAAAGTTCTCTCAAACTGGAGATTCTTTTGTTTCTTTGTTGGAGGAAAGATTTTTGCTCCACCTGATGCATTCTGCATAGTAGCTTAGTCTGTGTAGGATGCTATAACAAAATATCATAGACTGGGTGGCTTAATCAACAGACATTTATTTCTCACAGTTCTGGAGACTAGGAAGGCCAATATCAAGGTTCCTTCAGATTTGGTTCCTGGTAAGAATGCTCTTCTTGGCCATGTCCTTACATGATGGAAAGAGAAAAAAACAAACAAACAAAAAAAAACAACCCTCTGGTCTCTTCCTTTGCTGATAAGGAAACTAATCTTATCATAAGAACCTCATCCTCATGACCTCATCTAAACCCAGTTAACTTCCAAAGGCCCCGCCTCCAAGTATCATCTCTGTGGGGTTTAGGGCTACAACATAGGAATTGGGGTCAGGGACACATTTGGTCTAAAATACAGAGGCCCCCCAATTATTTTTATATTGGGTATCTTTATCTGTTTCCATTAATGTTACTTTAATTTCATCTTCATTATCTGTGAAGGCTTTCTACTATGTCTGTTCCCCTTACACCGAGTTTGAAGTTGCACTGAGTTTTGATTTGGGTTATAGTGAGTTTTATAAAGAAATTCCATTTGTTCTTTGCTGCCTTTGGTTCTCTAATGATACTGTTTTGAAAATTAGTTTGTTTCCTGAGGATTGAAATTTCCCTTTTAATCTCATTATCTTTTTAAATCTCATTGTCTTTTCGTCACCTCACTTTTGAGATTTTGTTTCACTTAGTTATATTCTGATTATATTCTAAAGCTTGGGTACTTGAGGGAAACTTTTCTCTGTTTCTTGGTTATATTTTGTTTAGGCTGGGTTCTATACTTATCATTTGCATTGTCTTCTTCCTTTATTTTGTTAATTGGAGCTGGGGAAGCTGTAGTATGTTAGCATAGTTGCCATTCCTGTTTGATCTCCTTATGTTCATGCTCTCTCAGATTTGTAATCTGTATTCTCTATTTTCTTAGTACCCTGAAAATAGGGTGTGGGGAGTGGGGTAGGAGTGGGATTGGAATAGAACTACATTAAGAATGTATACTGTCTTTTTTTTTTTTTTGCTTACATGAGCTCTCCCAATTCTAAGGTTTTATTAAATATCCAGTGTCAGGATTCATTCACATGGTTGGAGGTATTATCCCTGTCCCAGACGGGGAATATTCCTGGACTTCAGGTGTCCCCCCAGTTTGATGTTTTATCCTCAGAGCCTTCCCTTTACTAAAAACTGCTCAGTTTACTTTTCCTCGTTCATTACTATTCTTAGGAGCCATTTCTACTTTATGACTTCTAGAGAAGTTAGGAATCTCACCATACAGATGATCCTTGACTTAACAGTATTTTGACTTAACAATTTCAACTTAATGATGGTGTGAAATTGATACACATTTAGTAGAAACTATCCTTTGAATCTTGAGTTTTGATGTTTTCCCCAGGCTAATGATATGCTTTAGGATCATCTCTCATGACGCTAGGCAGTGCAGCGAGCACAGCTCCCGGTCAGTGACATGATCATGAGTATAAACACCCTGTACACTTACACCCATTTTTGCACCCATACAGCCATTCTGTTTTTCACTCTCAGTATCGTATTAAATAAATTATATGAAATATTCAGTACTTCATTATAAATTAAGCTTTGTGTTGGATGATTTAGCCCAATTACGTGCTAATGTAAGTATTCTGAGCATGTTTAAGGTAGGATATGCTAAGCTATGATGTTCCATAGTGTAAGTGTATTAAATGCATTTTCACTTATGATGTTTTCAACTTATGATGAGCTCATCAGGATGTAACCCCGTCATAAGTCAAGAAAGATCTGTACTACATTTCTCCCTTCCACTTTAGAATTCTGTTTCTTTCTTGACAAGCACTTTATAAACTTTACGGCACTAAGTTGGCTCTAAACCTTTCTTTGGTGCATGGCTACTGAATTTTTCCTTTGCTGTTGTTTTTAGTATTTTGTTGTAGGTGTTTCTTTAGATATTGGAGAACAGATTCTGCAAGGCAACGTTACTCTACCTTTTTCAGAAGTTTCCCCTTACACTGAGTTTCAAGTTGCATTGTTTTGAATTAAGTTGTACTCAATTTTGTGAAGACTCAAGCTTTCAATGATCTTGAGTTATTAATTGTAACTGAATTGAATCATACAACTTTCTACCCCTTCCATGATAAGTAAGTGTCCAGATTCTTTTCAATCAGACCTTTCCATTGGCTTTTTAAAAATCTCAATTTAAAAACTTATTTAAATTCTTAAAACATTTTTAAATAGTTAACCTAGTCACATGATTCAAAATGCAAATTCTAAAGGAACCACAAAGTAGAGTGAAAACTTTTACTCCTGTCCCCCAACCACTCAGTTTCTTTCCCCCAAAGCACTGTCATCTTTTTCTTGTATTCTTCTAGCGATAACTTATGCCAGTGTAAGCAAATACATAAAATATTTTCCCCTTTTGCAAATGCTACCATCCCATGCATGCTGTTTCGCTCCTTGCTTTTTCACTTATCTTTTGTCAGTGGCTTTTAAAATATGACATAGATTATTGAGGGAATCTTAAAAGGACAAATAGGGGCGCCTGGGTGTCTCAGTCGGTTAGGCCTCCGACTTTGACTCAAGTCGTTATCTCCCGGTTCGTGGCTTTGAGCCCTGCGTCAGGCTCTGTGCTGATAGCTAGCTCAGAGCCTGGAGCCTGCTTCAGATTCTGTGTCTCCCTCTTTCTCTGACCCTCCCCTGCTCACACTGTCTCTCTCTCTCTCTCTCAGAAATAAATAAAAACATTAAAAGTTTTTTTTAATATAAAAGGACAAATAAAAGATAGACTGAAAAGTGGATTTATTTACAGAATGTAATGGAATTGGATTTACAAAATGGAATATATAAAACAGTTAAGGTGAATGAACTTGATCCACATAGGTAATTCTTATAAACATAGTGGAGGTTGAAAGAAGCAAGGTACAAAGGGATACAAAGTATAAAATACAATTTATGTGAATTTCAAAAATACAACAAATAATGTGTATTATTCATAGATACATGCCTATGTATTAGACATGTAAAGCTTACATGGTAATGCCATAAAACACATTCAGTATTGGAGCTATTTCTAGAGAAGGTGGTAGAGAAAATAGAGGAGTGTGAGGGGTAGCTATCTATGTCACATTTCATGTTTTAACAAAAAAAAATCTGAAATAAAATGACTAAATACTAATGTCAGATCTGTGTGGTACATACATTGAGTATCATATTTTTTTTTGCTCTTCTGTATATTTGAACTCGTTCAGAATTAATTAAAAGAAATAAAAATAATATCTATTATTATAGAAAGTGTGGAAACTACAGAAAACTTAAAGGTTAAAAAAAAATCTGTAATAACCTCAGTGCCCCCAAGAGAAAATCCTTTGTAATATTTTGGTATCATTCCCTCTAGCTTTCATCCTAGGAGTGTCTGCATATATCAAACATATACCCTCTAAGAATACATATGTTTGATATATGCTCACACAATGGAATATCATTCAGCCATCAAAAAAGAAGGAAGTCTTGCCACTTACAACAACATGGATGTACCTTGAAAGCATTATGCTAAGTGAAATAAATCAGAAAGAGATAAATACTATATGTTATCACGTATATGTAGAATCTATAAAAAAGCTGACCTCATAGAAACCAAGAATAGAATGGTGGTTCCCAGGAGCTGAGAGGTAGAAAGGTAGGAAAAGGGAGGTGCTGGTCAAAGGGTATAAATTTACAGTTATAAAATGAATACGTTCTGGGGGTCTAATTAACTGCATGATGATTATAGTTAATAATACTATATTATATACTTGAAAATTGCTAAGAGAGTAGATGTTGCATATTCTCACTATTAAAAAAGAAATGGTAATTATGTGATGTGATGGAGGGGTTAGCTAATGCTATGGTGGCAGTCAGTTTGCAATATATAGTATCAAATCAATTCATGGGACACCTTCAACTTATACAGTTATGTTGTACTTATACAATTGTGTTATATGTCAATTATATCACAATAAAACTGTAAAAATATATGTGTATTTTTACATAGTTGAGACCATACCATATAGTTTCTATCTTGCCTTTTATAAACTTTGCATTATAATAAATCATTTCCCTGTGTTATTACTAGCTTTGTAATCATCACTTGTCACAAATATTTTAATCACCAAATATTATGTGAATATACCATAATTTAGTCATTTCTCTAACATTGTTTCCCATACTAAAGAGTGGTCCTTTGAATTTAAAAAAAAAAGATCCTGGGGCGCCTGGGTGGCTTAGTCGGTTAAGCGGCCGACTTTCGCTTGGGTCATGATCTCGCGGTTCGTGGGTTTGAGCCCTGCTTCGGGCTCTGTGCTGACTGCCAGCTCAGAGCCTGGAGCCTGTTTCAGTCTGTGACTCCCTCTCTCTCTGACCCTCCCCTGCTCATGCTGTCTCTATCTCTCTCCTAGAAATAAATAAAACATTTAAAAAAAAAATTTTTTTTTAAAAATAAAAAATAAAAATAAAAATAAAGATCCTTTGAGCATTTTTATATTTTCAACATATTTTGTATTTTTGGCAGAGGTTTCACATGCCCAGCCACTTAGACTCATCCACAAACTTATGCCCTAAATAATACAGAGCACTGTTTTTTTCCTTACTGTTTTTCACCCGTAAAAGATACCTTGTCTGTGTGATCATTAATCCTAGCTTTAACTATGTATTATTATTATTAGAGTAACTTGTAGTTATTCAAAATGTTCAAATAATGCTCCAAAACCTTTTGCAAATAAAGAGCATGCTCTAGAAGAGCCCTAGAGTAGATAGAATATGGACTTCATGATGCACTAACAAAATTGGAACCTTCTTTGAATATTCAGACTGAAAGATGGTTTGTGCCCAAGGAAATTAATGAACTATCAACAAGTCTTTCTAATGTTTTAAAAAAAATTTTTTAATGTTATTTATTTTTGAGAGACAGAGACAGAGTGCAAGTAGGGAGGGGAGAGGGAAACGGAGACACAGAATCTGAAGCAGGCTCCAGGCTTTGAGCTGTCAGCACAGACCCCAACGTGGGGCTTGAACCCACAAACCATGAGATCATGACCTGTGCTGAAGTCAGACAGTTAACTGACTGAGCCACCCACTTGCCCCTCTAAGATATTTTTTTTAAAGATTCCTTTTCAATCTAGTGTCAGGCCACTCCACATACATTATGAAGTCATAATGTTAGGTGCCAAACTTACTAGATAGTAAGTCTAACATTTGATATGCTTTCTTCTTTATAATTTTGTGGTATAATAGTAAGTTACCATGAAGATATTTTTAGTAATTAAATTTTTTTATTTATAGTCTATTCTTTATGGTTGTAATTCATTTACTAAGAGCACAATTGCACAAATGTTCAATATGTTGATGTTTAAAAATTTTTAAATACTATCTTTTTTCCCCCTAAGGAAAAAAAATGCTTTAATTTTTTTTCTGCATTTAAATTTCTTAGGGTCATAAGCCAGTTCTGTTGAGGACCCAGTACCGTTGTCACCCTGCAATCAGTGCTATCTCTAATGACCTGTTTTATGAAGGAAACCTCATGAATGGCGTTTCAGAAACTGAGAGGAGCCCTTTATTGGAATGGCTCCCAACTCTGTGTTTCTATAACGTTAAAGGACTGGAACAGGTAAATGACATTAATGAGACTCAACATGGTTTAGTTTCCGGGTTTAATTTTATTGTTGTTGTTTATATGGTTTTCTTGGTTTTCCGTAGCCTTTCTGGGAAATATAATTTAGGCTCTGTTTCGTATTCCAGATTGAAAGAGATAACAGCTTTCATAATGTGGCAGAAGCTGCTTTTACACTCAAGCTGATTCAATCACTGATTGCAAGTGGGATCGCAGGCTCAGTGATTGGGGTGATAACATTATACAAATCCCAGATGTACAAGGTTTGTGTTACATATTGATACTTAAATATTATAACTTTTTGTTACACTATTTGATAATCACATTTATTGTAGTTGGGTTTGGTACTTAAAAAATTTTCAGGAGTGTAACATTTTTAAAAGTTTTAATTTTTGTGTGGTCTGGCTTTTTTTCTGTATAATTAAATGTAAACCTAACAAGGTCTAATTAAATTCAGTTTACAGCTGTTAGGGCAAAAATGCAAATAAACAAATTAGAGGGAAGAAAATACAGTGTATGCTTTGTGTTTTGGGCCAGATGGGATTCAATCTTTGTTTTTCAAAATGTTCTTTCATTATTATTTCATTTTATTAATAAATCCAAAATTGATAGCAGATATTAATGTACACAGAAACCATTTACTTCTAACTAGTTTTTACATTTTTCTTTTTTAAAAAAAATTTTCCATCTGTTTTATTATTAATCTATCAACTCTGAATTAGTATGAATTCCCCAGCAATAGATAAATCATCACTTTTGATTTGGTTTCCTAATTTATATTGTCATTTAGTTATTTATGAATCATTTTAGAAACTACCAAATCTGTGTGAATCATTAAAAGAAATGAAAATTATCCACTGCTAGTTGCTGTGAATAGGTTCAGGGCTTAAGTTCTTCATGGTCCCTTCCCTGTATGGTCTCTTCTTTCCTCCACAGCTTTGTCATGCACTCAATGCCTTGGACTTTGATCATCCTGATATTAAAGCTGTGCAGGTATCCACAGTAGATGCTTTTCAGGGAGCTGAAAAGGAGATCATTATTCTTTCCTGTGTAAGGACAAGACAAGTAGGATTTATTGATTCAGAAAAAAGAATGAACGTTGCATTGACCAGAGGAAGGAGGCATTTATTGATTGTGGGAAATTTAGCCTGTTTGAGGAAGAATCGACTCTGGGGACATGTGATCCAACACTGTGAAGGTAAAATAAAAACATGTTTAATTCAAGTGTTTTGAATTAAAAATGACTCTTGAGTTAGCGCTTGGAGTGGTTCAGGTAGGACTAGCTCTGAATTTGCCACTGTGTGAGATGACTGAAATATCGTTGTCTCACGTTTTATCTCTTTCTAAGGAAGGGAAGATGGATTACAACATGCAAGCCAGTATGAACCACAGCTGAACCATCTTCTTAAAGATTATTTTGAAAAACAAGCAGAAGAAAAACAGAAGAAAAAGAGTGAAAAAGATAAACCTCATTCACAAAAAGTCATGGCATAGATCATTTGTATTTATATAAATTCAAATTCACTTTACACTATATATTTTTTATTATATTTTTATTACCCTAAAACATTGTTATTGATAAAGCTTTATAATATTTATATAACATTAAATTAACTACATATAAAAATTTGTTCTTCGAAAAAATATAGTTATATTCAGATAGGCAGATGTTGAAGGTAATATAAAATCTTACTAATAAAAATATATTTTTTCTAAAACTTATGGTTTCTTTTTGCTAAAGGAATAAGTTTTACAAAGGGCATGGAAAATACCAATGTTACTTAAAAAATAAGTAAATATCTCAAAAACTCATCTATTAGAACATGGCTACACAGTTGTATCAATACAACCCTTTCTGAACTACAGCTCTATCAGAATCTTTAAAAAATAAATATATTTCATGCCCTGTTACAAGTAAAAACATATTCACAATAACTTTTTAGAAATATAAAAAGAAGAAAAATATTAAAAATTCACTCCTGGAGATAGCAGTGGTCAGTACATGGCCTTGGCCAGCACCCAGCACCATACCTGGTATTGTAGGTGCTCAATAAGTAGCCATTGGTTGAATGAACAAATGAATGAGTGAAAGACTACCTTTGGCTCATTTCCTTCTAGTCTTCTTCCTATGCATTTATTCACATGGTAGTTATTAGTATATAAAATATATAATGGATATAAATTTTTTATTTTGAATTCTTTTTAATACACATGTATAGAAAAGTGTACAAATTACAAGTATACAGCTAAGTGAATTTTCATAAAGTAAAATCTTTGTAATCAGCACTCAGATCGCAGTTGGAACATAACTAATATCGTGGAAGCCCCTTTGTGTCTCACTGCTACTATACTTTCACCTTCAGGGTAACCAGTATCATAATTTTTAGAAACATAGGTTTGTAATGCGTGTTATCATGTGCAGGCTTTTGGACTTTGTAGATATGGAATCATATTATGCTTCTACATGTGATTGGTTAAATATTCTCATGAGATTCATTCACATTGTTTTGAATATTGGTAGTTTTTAATATTCCTGTTTGATATTCCATTGTAAAAATAACTGTAATTCACTTATGTATATTACTCTTTTCCATCAGTTTTATTGAGAAATAATTGACATACATCACCGCATAAGTTTAAGGCACACAGCATGATGGTTCTCTTTCCATGTATCATGAAATGATTACCACGGTAGGTTCAGCTAACACCCATCTTCTCATATAGTTACAATAAAAAGGAAGGAAAAAATTTCCTTGTGATGAAAATTCTTAGGTTTTTTTGTCTTAACAACTTTCCTGTATATCGTACAGCAGAGTTAGCGATAGTCATCCTGTTGTCCATTACATCCCAAGTACTTATTTATCATGTAAGTGGCAAACTTTTGATCACCTTTCTCCAACAACCCCTTTGTCTACCCTCCACTTCTAGTAACCACAAGTCTGATCTCTTTTTCTAGAAGTTTGGGTTTTTTTGTTTTTAATATGCCACATATAAGTAAGATCATACGTATTTGTCTTTCTTGGACTTACTTTAACATTATGCCTTCAAGGTCCATCCATGTTTTCATAAATGGTAGGATTTTCTTATTTTTTGTGGCTAAATAATATTCATATATGGGTGTTATATTCATATATGATATATATTCATATTTACATATGATATATATCACATCTTCTGGGGTTTTTTTTAAGTAAGCTTTGCACCCTTTGTGGGGCTTGAATTCATGACCCTCAGATCAAGAGTCCTATGCACCACTGACTGAGCCAGCCAGGATAACTTCTTTATCCATTCATCCATCGATGGACACTTAGGTTGTTTCTATGTCTAAGCTATTGTAAATAATACTGCTATGAACATGGGGGTGTAGATACCTTTTTGAGTTAGAGTTTTCATTTCCTTTGGATATATCTACAGAATTATAATTGCTGGATCATATGGTAGTTCTATTTTAATTTTTTTTTTTTTTGAGGAAACTCCATACTATTTCCAAGTGGCTATACCAAGTTACAATCTTACCAGCATGCACAAGGGTTCTCTTTTCTCCACATTTACACTGGCAGTTGTCTCATCTTTTTGATGATGGCTAGTCTAACAGGCATGAGGTAATAGATACCTCATTGTGGCTTTATTTTGCATTTCCCTAATGACTAGTGGTGTTGAACATCTTTTCACATACCTGCTGGCCTTTCATATATCTTCTTTGGAGAAATGTCTACTTAGGTCTTTTGCCCATTTTTTTTACCTGATCTTAGAGGAAAAACTTTCACATTTTTATTATTGAATATGATATTAGCTGTGGGCCTGTCATATATAGCCTTTATAATGTTGAGATTTGTTCCTCTCTGCCTAATTTGTTGAGAGTTTATTGTGAATGGATATCAAATACTGTCAAGTGACTTTTCTGTATCTATTGAGATTTTGATGATTTTTGTTGTTGTTTTGTTGCAGTGTATCACATTGATTTGTATACATTGAACTATCCTTGCATTCCAGGAATAAATCCCACTTGATCATGGTGAATGATCCTTTTAGTGTGCATTTAAGTTAGGAAAACAATGCATGAACAAAACAAGAAGTTCAGCAAGGAAATAGGCACCATCTAAAACAAAAAAACAAAGAAATACAACTGAAGAATTCAATAGAGATCTTCAAAAGTAGACTTTGCCATGCAGAAGAAAGAATTTGTGACCTGAAGGACATTGAAAGGGATATTGAAAATTATCTAGAGGAGCAAAAACTAAAAAAAAAAAAGTGAAGAAAGCCTATGGGAATTATGAGACACAATGAAAAGAAACAATATTCACATTATGGGTTCCAGAAGAAGAGAAAGAGAAAAGGACAGAAACTATATTTAAAGCAGAGAACATGAGGAGAGAAATGGACATTCAGATCCATGAGACCTAAAAGAAAGGATCCCAAGTAGGTCTCACACAAAAAGGGCTACACTGCGACACACTGTAATTAAGTTGTCAAAAGTCAACGACAATTTTAAAAGCAGCAAGAGAAAAGAGAGAAGTAAGTTATACACCAGGGAACCTCCATAAGACTATTGACCAGTTTCTCAGTAGAAACTCTTCAGGCCAGGAGAGAATGAGATGACATATTTAAAATCCAAAAGAAAATAACTGTCAACCAAGAATTCTATCACCAGTAGAATCCTTCAGAAACAAAGGGATAAAGAGTTTCCTGAACAAACAAGAACCAAGGGGGTTCATTACCACCAGACCTCCCTCCAAACGGAGTTCTTTGAGCAAAAGTAAAAGAATGCTAATTAACATCATAAACACAGATGGCATAAATCTCACCAATAATGGTAAATATATAGTCATAGTTAGATTCTGCAACATGGTAATAGCGGTACATAATTCACTTACAATCCTAGTTTTAAAAAGGTGGTTATGTCTTTATCAATTTGTTCGATGATTGCTATTTCCTTGTCAAACTTCTTGTGTGTGTTTTTTTCATGTATTGTTTTCCTAATTCCATTTATTTGTGCTTTCTTGTAGTTCACTAAACTTCTTTAAGAGGCTTATTCTAAATTCTTTGATAATTTGTAGATTCCCATTTCTTTAGTGTCAATTATTGAACCTGTATTAGTTTTCTTTGGTGATATCATATTTACCTGATTTTTCATGATCCTTGATTCTTTATGTTGGTATCTGTACATTTGAGTAATCAGACTCTCCTTCCAGTCTTTACAGATTTGCTTTCGCAGAGACAGTTCTTTACCAATCTGCTCAGTTTGGATTTCTTGGTACTGTCCTTGGGCAGGTGGGGCATGCTATTGTCTGTTTTAGGGTGAGGTAAGTTTCCGACCTCTGAGGATTGGGTGGGGGGTTGTGCCACTGGTAGAGGACAGTGGATAGAACTGCTGGCTTGGCCCCCTACCCAAGCGAGGCTACAGGATGGTCTCTGGGTTGCCTGCAGGGCAGCAGGGTAGGATCCAGGGCCCATACGTACGGCTCATTGTTTAGCGACCCAAATCAGGCCAGACCGCACACTGAATTCCCTGGTCAGGTGAGGCCCCTGGTTCTCTGGGGGTGGTGGGGGGCGGGGGGGGGGGTGCCTGGGCTGTGCTCTCTGTTCCAGTGCCACAGTAAGCTGTGCTGTTGAATGGACTGTGTAGCTTCCTGTGTATTTTCCTGTGTATTAGGTTCTGTGGTCAGACGTGCTAAAGGCTCTATTCAATGAGTGGGGCTATGAATTCGATTCTCAAATGCAGTGGGAGAACCATNCTGGTCAGGTGAGGCCCCTGGTTCTCTGGGGGTGGGGGGGGGGGGGGGGGGGGGGGGGGGGGGGGGAGCCTGGGCTGTGCTCTCTGTTCCAGTGCCACAGTAAGCTGTGCTGTTGAATGGACTGTGTAGCTTCCTGTGTATTAGGTTCTGTGGTCAGACGTGCTAAAGGCTCTATTCAATGAGTGGGGCTATGAATTCGATTCTCAAATGCAGTGGGAGAACCATCTTTAACACTGCTAAAGCTCTTTGTTGTCTTAACTCAAACGAGCCCACATACCAAGTTCCCTGGCTGAACGGGACCATTGACTTGGCTTGTTAAACTCTTGGCTCTGATGTCTACCTCTCGGTTTGAGTGCTGCTGGGCCACACGGTTTCCAGAAGTTGTCACCAGTGCTTCTGGTAGATGGGGCCGAAAGCCACTGTTCACAGGGACGGGGCTATGTTGAAGCCTCTTTGTCTGGGTGGGAAGGGGAGAGGCTACTTCAGGCTACTCTGAAATTTCACTGGGAGGAGCCAGAAGTTACCTTCAGCCTGGGATCTGAATTAACCCCTCTGGTTGTGTGTACCATGGGAACACTCCACTCCCAGGACTGGCTTTGTTCTGGGGACAGTCAGCTCTGCCTACCCGCTTCTCTGCTCTACTGCTGATGCTGGATACGGATTCCAGGAGTGCTGGATGCGGATGCCAGACCTTCTGGTCAGAAGGTGCCATAAGACACTCCACGGCAGGTGGAGCTCTGATTCAGGTCCTTGGCTGTGTCTGGGGCAAGCCAGGCTTTAGGACCGGCAGAATTCATTTGAGGAACTAAATCAGGCAGATCTGTAACCTGCTGAGTTCCATGGTCAGAGTTTTGCAGGTAAGCAAAACCCCTGGTTGGGATTACTTCTTGGGCACTGAGGTGTGAACTCAGTCTCACTGTCCT